AGGTAAAGGGTGAGGAGGAGGAGGAGGAGAAGGAGGAGAAGGAGGAGGAGGAGGAGGAGGAAGCTGCTCTAGCAGGAGAGAAACTAAGAATTAAATGTGATTATGCCCAGACTGGCAGAATGTGTGCATGCTCCTGAAAGCAAGCAAACAATACAAGACAGTGTAAACCTGCTGCATGTGTGCTGTACCTGTTTTTCGACCTGGTTGATGTCAGCAGTGGATGCCTGCTGAGCTCACGTGTATTTCTGATCCAGTCAAGGCTGTATTTCCCTGTATGGGCAACACACGCGCACACGCACATACACCTAATTAGTTGCATGACGAAGAATCATACCCGCGGCAGTAGTTTCAAGTTAATTTAGAATAAATACATCGATCCTGCAATATGAACACACGAAAGACCAACATTTCAATTCATCTTATCCCACAAAATTAGGCCACTGTACTTTAGATTACATCTATTTTAAACGCAATGACACATTTCAATTACATGTAACTAATGTAAAACAGGCTGTACCCTGACTTTAAGTTATATATATATATATATATATATATATATATATATATATATATATATATATATATAAATGCAATGCAGGCTGTTAAGACACATTTCACTGGATCTAACATTCCTTGACAAAGGCAGATTATGAAGTCTGACATTGTTTCCCACAGTCGTATCATCTACTTACTGCAAAACTAATCTAATTCCTCACAACCCCAGCGCCTGCACACTGAGGATTTGTAACAGCGGAGCTCTGCAGCTTCTGTAAAAACAAGTTAAATGTGCATCACCGGTGCTGGATCCGGTCTCCGGTGTCTGTCTGGTCCGATCCGGTCCCTCAGAGTCCAGACAGAGTCCCGCCGCTCGGCAGAGGGGACCCGCACTTTTATTGTGACAGCCCACACCACCCGGAGCCGCTGTGAGCGTGACCGCGCCCCAGAGCCAGCCCATTTAATAGCAGCCTGCCGCGCGCGTTCACGACACTTTCAAGAGCTGTGCGGGAGGCTTCCTGCTGTTTCCACAGTGATTTGTAGATTTTTGGCAAATTAATGACGCAAAAAGCGATTTGTTCATCGTTTAGAACGCTCACGCACTCTCCTGGTGTGGATCATTTGCAAACGCGAGACACATGGGAGAGAATAAATATTTCTGGTTGTCACAGCTCCAAGAAACACACCAGGGCCAAATCCGCAAAATCTGGTGTTTTTAAAGGCAGTTTGGGGCCTGGTGTCAGGGAAAAGCAGAAGATTCAATCAGGCAGTTCAATATTTGATCAACTGGTGCAATACTGCTCAGCTGGTAACATGCAACTGAGTTAAAAGACTTGTTTTATTTAGATTTTACACAGTTTTTAGTGTGTTATTGTCCTATAATCTCAATTGGATAATGAGAAAAGTGGAACAATCCTGAAGCTGTGACACCTGACATCATCTGTAAGGGAGATCAAGGAAGTAGGATAAAGCTGTCTTTACTTTTAAGCAGCACAATCATTGTTTTTTTCACTTCTCCAATAGTCACACTGACCTTTTGACCATGAACTCATTCCATTAGGACAACAACACCCATAACACTTTAGTTCACTAAACTGAACAGCATTGTTGCAGTTGAAGTTAATCATCTATTTAACTGCGTCTGTTTATATCTGCTGCATTTGAGGAACTGATAAAGCACAAAATCAATAAAGTTAATCACATCAGTAGCCTACATCATTTCAAATCTGAAATAATGGTGCATTTCTATTTATTGCATGTTTTCTGCTTGTTTCTGTACAAGAATGTGAATACACCGTGATTAATGCAGCAACTTTGAGAGCAGCGATCACGTGTCTGAACAACATGACACTGAAGTCCTCCTCTGCTTATCTGCCTGCTGACAGACATGGCCTCCTCCCTCTTCTACACAGTACAAGGCATAATGACTAACAGCTGGGGTGGCTGACTACTTGCAAACCCCAAATGGAAACGGAGATGTACCGGCGCTGTGCTATTATCTCCTCTGCTCGTGAAGTGAGCCTGGGTACCTGACCACCCACTCACCCTCAGTGAGTCACTCACACTTTTCTCTCCACACACACCGGCCTGCTCTGCTACCTTATAGGATTATGTGACTCATTGGTGCACCGCTTAAAAACACCTGAGGACACAATAAAAAATACTTTTTTTAAATGTCTTTTACTCTTGGTCTGAAATTCAAATGGTAATAATTTAATGAAGCTTTCTGCATACATAACTGCTTATTTATGGGTTAAGATGAGATTCCTCATCTTAACTGTACTTTACTTAAGCAGGAGATTCCTCATCTGAGGTCACTGCCGGTGACAACAATAAAACCATACTGCAAGGAACTCTCACATTAACTGGGAAGACAAAATGACTCTAATTTCAAAAAGACTTGCTAAAATGCATGTTGCAAAAAGAGGTGAAGGGCGAGGAACACTATAACACAGTAAGAGGAAGTGGCAGCAGAGAAGAGGACCTAAAACTCGTCTAGTCAAAACAAAACTGAGTTGAGAAGTAAGTTGCGGAACCTAGGTAGCAGATAGTGTTGCTACAGGCGTTATGGCTTGAATCCAGTGACTCAAAAATGAAGCAAATCCAGTTTGTGCAGTTGCAGCAGCCGCCAGTTGGTTTTAGGCCTTTCAGCAAAGTTGGATTTGACCCCTTTATATAAAGTCTATGATTTGAACCCACTGACCCATCATCATTCATATTCAGTTTCTCTTCTGTAAACCCATTGTGATTGAAGACAGCACACAGAGACACACAAACATGACAAATGTGTGATAATCATGGCTACTCGTTTTTACTTCTCAAAGTTAGCAGTCAGTTAAATGTATATTATCAAAAAAGGCCCAACTTTTCCACTTCTCCTCAATCTCCAGGTAACATACAAAAAAGACAAATCAGGACATTATAAAGCTGCACATTTTGTACCAGATACAATAATAAAATACGCAATGCTACATTAAGTGGTTAAAAATACAAAGGGGAAAAAGTATATTGATTTTTTTAAAACATCTTTAAAGAATATACAATGTTATTTTTTTTCTTAACTAGCCAAGAATTTTAGTAGAAAGTGCATTCTATATAACAAGGAAAGGAGGAGGAGAATCGTTCCTCAAACTGAAGACGTAGCAGGACGTGACAGAGAGGCTCCATGAACAGACGTAAAAGTAGAATGTATTTCAGGTGTGGCTTGGAGGTGCTAGTGTAAAGTTGCTAGAGCAGTTTGAACATTGCTTTCACTTTGAGGGAAGGCCCATACTGGAGCATCATCTTTTTTTTTTTTTAATTTTAAATAAGAAATTGAATGTAAGCACATACTAAAAGAAATGTCCTGCGTTTGTGATGGTCCCTTCCACACTAACCTACTCCACCCGGGGATTCTCCTCCTTTCCTTGCCTAAAAACATCCACTCGAAGTAATCACCTCCACCCTTTCCCATGCAGCCACAACTGCACTCTTTTTCACAATGCATTGTCAGCCCCTCCCTTCCCTGCGCCTCACCCACGCAGCAGTAAAGTGCAGAGAATACACACTAATGAAAAGGCTCAAAAAAAAAAAAAAAGACAAAAGATTCATACTGCAAAATGCTAAAGCACTGCAGTGAAACCAAGGGGGAAAGGATGATAAGCAATCAATGCAGCCGTATTAAGACCCACAGAAATGGCAGGATAATTGCAGGTCTCAAATGAAAAAAGGGACATCCTAAACTACTGAGCTTAACCACTTCATACTGAATTCTGTTAGAGTGGCAGAAAGATGTTGAATTCACTGCTTTTGTCAATCTCATGTATCCCCGAATACGAATACATTGGGACACACTGTGTAAAAGCAGCTTTTGGTACAGGAGCACTGGGGACAACCAGACAGACGGACAGAGGCTGGTCGAGAATATCACATGCATACCTAAGCACTCGCTCTCCACAATCTTCTCAACACACCTCCAGACCTGGTGCAAACAAGCAACCTAAATACTTGCCAACCAGCTTCTAACAAATAACATTCACACCATTGGCTGTTACATTAACAAATGTAATTTCTTGCACTGACTTGTTCACATGTATGCTTATCTATACAAGAATTCCAAGTATTTAAGGTTGTACGACCACTGCCTTTTATCCTGACGTTTCCTATCATGTGCTAACGACAGTTTATCTACACTACAGAACCATCCATTAGATAAAAACTGAGAACATTAGCAGAGAACAAAAAAAGCAAGAATGAATCAGCCATCATTCTGCGTAGGCAACATTCAACAGGTTTCAACACCTTTGCCTGTTTGGATCAAAAAATGTCAGGATGATGAAAAGTGAAAAACAAACCTTTACACTACAACTCCCTACACCAAACCGTGGAAAATCGTCTGAGAGGAATATGCATAATTGTCTGTTAAGACCGGTGATGAGAAAGGTCCCAGTTGTGTATACTGTGTTTGTGTGTCCAACGACCTTTAACATGGTAACCCGTATCATTTCGTCAGCAGCGAAGGGAGGTGGGGTAGATCCTGATGGGGCCGTATGTCTGGCCCCTCACAGTGGCAGTATTTGACAGTCATCTGTTATCTAAAAGCATCTGTTGACCAGCAGTACTGGAAACTGAGGTTGCACTGATCACAGCAAGTAAATCAATGACCATGTGGCCTCATGTCCTTTGCGTGTGCTTGAGTAAGTGTGAGGCTGCGTGTGCCGAGGGCAAGTTCTGCATAAACTGAGTTTCTTGTTCACAAAATAGTTCAAACCTCAAATCCATTGAAGAAAAGCCAGGCTGGCAAGACATGACCTATATGACACGATACATGTTTATGTGTAATATTACACTTCTGAAAATCAAATGGAAAGAGAAAATTTAAGAAATATTTCATGTACTGGAATGGAAAGCACCATTTATCCATGATATGAATCTTAGACTTTGTCAAGATTCAACCAAGCATTTACAAAATGTTTTTTTCAATGTCCTTTACAAACATCCCACCCCCCCACCCCTACTGCATCTCGCACTACTTCAGTAGCCCAAGGACAGAAAGCCTCAGCCTCCGACTTACGGCAGAGAAGGACTCAGGTAGAACGAGTAACAACATTCATTTAACATTCTGTGATGCCTGAGCCTCTACAGTACAACTCGGAGGACAGGTTGAGTATTGCTGTGGGGCAGACCTGCACAGAAAGCCAATGTGCAACCATAAGTCACTTTTCTCATTATCCAATTAAGATGAGCTTAATGACACTGATTCTTGAAGATCCATGAAGCCCAGGTCATTCATATGTTGACTTCCATCAGCAGCTTATGTTGAAAGGGAGATAATTTACACTCATCAATGTAAAAGTAGATAACTCGTACAGGGATTGTTAGATTTCCTTAGAAAATGTTCCAAGAAAAAAAATTGAAAGATTGTAAAATCTTTGTCAGTTGACCAGGGTTTTTAAGTAGAGGTCATACTTATATAATTCATGAACTGAGGATGTATAAGTCTGGATGTCTGGATCTTTCTGGTGTGTATGTTTAGCTTAACTTATTTTTATCTTTTTGAGAGGAATAACCTTAAATAAGGAGCCTTGCATCAGAGGGGCTGAGGCAGGACCATGAAACAAGAGAAACAAGGCGTGGTTTGGTGTGGCCCCGCAGTGCCGGAGCACAGTTCAGTGGTGCTGTGGGGCCCCAGGACCCTTGTCGGGATGAGCCATGTGGTGCAGGTAGCTGCTGTCTTCATGCCCGCAGTGGTTTAGGGGCTCACTCTTGAAAAGGGCAGGGGGTGGGGGAAGGTGGGAGACTGGGGGCACGGCCAGGTGGTGGTGGGAGTGGGGTGGGGCGTGTTGGGGTGTGTTTGAAAGATGTTGCTGGGTTGTTGGGGCGTGATGGTGAGAAGGGGTTGAGTGGAGCTGCACATGGGAGAATGTGTGTCCCACAGGGCCTCGCAGAGGCATGGGCCCTCCTGTCGGGCTGAGGCCCAGGGGCGCTGAGGTGGTAGCCGGGCTGGCAGCTGAGGGGCCAGGACCAGAGGTGGAGGAAGAGGAGGAGAAGGTGTTGGTGAAGATTCGGACAGGCAAGGGTTGGCCACTGGTCTGCAGAACCACAGGGCTGGTAACCCGGAAACACTTCTCTTTGTGTGCTTTGAGCATGTTGGAGAAGCGGAAGCGCTGGCCGCACACCTCACAGGGATAGGGCTTCTCTCCTGTGTGGGTGCGGCGGTGGCGCTTCATGTTGGGCCGACTGGTGAAGCTCTTTCCACAGATCTCACAAATGAAAGGCTTCTCTCCTACACAGATTCAGAATATAAAAGACCAGTGAGTGAGGGAGACAGACACTGTATCAGTTAACAAAAAGAAGACAGAGAAAATAATATGATGCATGTGAGTCAGATCCTTTGCTGTCAAATCTGATGCTTTCAAAATTTCAAATAATCAACTGATTAGAGCTCTCAGAATGACAAAGTGAACTTTTGTCAAATTTTTGAAACATTTCTCTTGATAGTGAGTAACAGCTCTCTTTTAAAAAATGCAAATCAGTTGCCATCTTGAATATAGGGTCTTTGCTGTCAACCCACCCACTCCACAGGAAGCTATTACCATTCACACTTTGAGAAGAGGAGATGTGAAAGTGAACAACAGGAGCCTGGGTGGAATGCCGCTCTCATTAACCTCCCTCGATGGAGCCACTGAATGTGCCTGCTACCACCCACACAGCCATCTATTAACAGGCGGCTGAAGGGCTCTCTAAGTGCCTTATTCTGCCATGTTATGTGTGAAGCTCCTCCAAACCAACTGAATATCAAAAGGTGACAGCTAATGTGCTAAAGTCTTAAGTTAATGTTACCTTACACTCACTTCCAAGAGTTTGTGGAAACTGTGTGTGCAGTGTACCAAACTTTGGGTGTCTAACATGTGTGCTGCCTATTACAGGGCATGCCTGGGTGTGTCTCCTCCTGCTGGAGACTAAATTGGTTTCTAGCGGCAGGGAGAGGAGAGGGTGGTGTAATTATACATCACAAATAGAACGGCGAGGGCCAATTGAGAGCGGTGTGTCCACCCACGACAGGCATGGCTTGAGAAAACCAGTGAAGGACGTACAGACTTCGCTGCTCAGTTCGGTCTTAGAAATAGCAATGCAGCACGGGCAGAAAATCAGAGGGATGTTAAACACCATGTGTCTGGGTAGTCATTATAAGCCGCATTATACTGTATACAAGGTCATTCTTTGATGTGAAATGTCCCTCTCATTACATAAACTGGGCAAAGTCTCTTTGCTCTCACCACTATAATGTTCATCTTGGCTACATCCCATGTCTTTCCTTTTTTAGGGAGTGCATGGAGACAAGCTGGCTGACGATCTCCTGAACATAGTTGTTTGTTTTCATCGCTCAACATTACAGAACTGCAGAATATCTTTAAAAAATGACAGAGGAACTCAGGTAAACTCATCTTTAATATTTTGTATTCATGTCCTTCTCCCTATTGGAAAAAAGATGTTAGTTATGCAACAAAGATTTAAATTTACAAAATGACTGCCTTACACGAAGCAGTCATTTTCTTGTTCATTGTAATTTCCTGCTGCAGTGCTGCATGATATTTATATAGAAAGGAGATTAGCAAAGATTGAAGGGAAGAGTAAAAACGCCAGAGAGACGGGACGCACATCAACAAAACAGCATTTTTCCAATTTTAGCTATTTCACAAGTAAACCTTTTGAAACCTTCCTGTAAATGTTTCACATTCCCTCACTTTCTGCTACTGCCTTTTATAATGGCTGGAAAGATGACTGATGTATATTTATAGATGTCAATATCAAAATAAATCACTTTCCCAAGTATGAATATTGAAACTAGCAACAACCAGTCTGAATTATTCCTGTGTACTAGTTGTATCAGCCTTGCTGGAGACTCCACCCTGATAGTTCCTGGGCCTAGGTTTCTAAAGACATTTTTGGGATCGAAAAGAGATGCAACAAAAGGCCAAAAGACTAACAACCCTTGTCTTTTCTCACCTGTGTGTGTTTTCATGTGCTCATCAAAATACTGTTTCATGTTGAAGTCCTTGCCACACCACTGGCACATGAACTGCTTGTGTCCGATGTGAATGCTCATGTGGGAGCGCAGCTGGTACTTGTACTGGAACCGCTCGTCGCAGTTCTACAACAGAGACAACAGAGGCATTCAGATAATATGCACACACCGGGTCAGTGCACAAGTATGAACACAAAAACACACACATACCTGCGGTCGCACACAACATTGAAAACTGGATTGGGCTGCTGATTTTTGACAAACTCATCTTACGTTAGAAGAACCATTTTTTGGGGGGGGAAAATATAGGACAAGATGGTGACTATACCTTTTACTTATATAATCCTATTTACAAGTGTGTAACTGTCTACTGCACATGGTATATTTTAATGCAAAATAGAAAAGTTTAGGGCAGTAACAAGCAAAACATCTTCGGATTTAACTATTTTGCATATGAGGGGATCCACCAAGATACCATTTTTCAGACATGACCTCCGGGTAAAATCCGGAGAATTGGCTACGGAGTTTACACATGTACAACGCAGCGGGAGGTTCTCTGCACAGGTGCTTTCGGAACAGCAACAAATCCTCTGAACTATTCAGGCGAGAGGTGGAGCAGCCAGGTACAGCAGACAGAGGAGGGAATCCGCATGGATCACATTTACAGCACCTTGACACCCTTGTCATCTCTCATCACCAGAAGCTCTCTTGACATCTTCATCAGTCACCACCTCTTTACTGGGAGTTTTCTTTTTGTTTTTTTGTCGTGCATTAGAAGCGTCATCGACACCCCCTCACTCGCTCATCCCCTGCTGTGTTCACACTTTGACATCTCCTGGATTCCTGCAGAGTTAATACTAGGCCAGGAGGATAAAATCTATAGAAAATATGGTGCATCACACTCAGATATTTGCGTTCGCATATGCACTTCCTCCAGAGAAAATATGGAGGTTCTGTGGAGTCCAGTGCATGTCTGAAAGCAGCTGTGTATTCATAAGAAATGAGGTTACTGCAGCAAGCCAACAATACCCAGAATATTTGTATGAATGTGACCATGCTGTATATTTGGCTTCCTTGGTCTTGTCTATTCCTGAAGTGAGACTTTTACAACCTGAATGACACAACCTGACTAAATAAAGGTTGTGGAAGATTCAGCTGGTTCCATATGGCACAACAGTGTAAGACCACTGAGGAGAATTGCCTATACATGAAACGCACATTTAATAAGCATGTAATTACATGTTATAGTGTAGAATGGCAGCTCCACCCAGACACACATGCTCCCTGTCTGCTGTCCATTCAAGTGGTTGGACATTAAAAGGCCTCGGGTGGGAGTAAAGCAGCCCATCTGTCAGCTCCCTCTGAACTCATGAGTCTGGACAGGGTTATGATTATCAACTGCTACCAACTCTGGACTCTCAAGCAGAAATAAGCTCATAGATTCTGATGCAATGTGACAAAATGTATCGTCATATAATTACATGAGCGGTTATGTTTCAACATTAACCTGATTAACACAATAGTCTGAATAAAGTCATTACAAGACATGAACCGCGGAAAATGTCAGGACAATGGGATCTGGACTCAAATATGAAGAATGAAGCAGGAGATTCACATCAGAAGCACTGACAACAACAGGAAATTCTCCAGTGCTGGGATAAAGGGTGGTGTCTGGGCATGTGAGAGGTAAGACACAATGTATTCTGCTGTGACTATCACATGTTGTTGTTCATAGCACACTGACCCCTTATCACCAAAAGCTCTTGAATCTTGGTGTCTTTCCGAGTTCTTCTTCTGCATCTTCAACAAGTACCGCACACCTTTTTTATCCTGAGATATTTGTATTCTTTCTGTTTTTGTCAGTGTTGCATCCCGTGTTAGAAATGTCATCAGCACTCCCACTTGCTCACAGTGAAATCTGCGACAATATCCTGCTGTATTCTCACATGGGCTCACATGGATATTCCCTGGAGATTTTACTAGAGGGCTGGCAGGAACAAACTTGCAGATTGTCTGGAGTTCAGTGCATGTCTGGAAGCATTTAAAGATACTCTCATGTAACATCGACAAACGGCATTTACCAGTTTGAAATTCCGTAAGGAGCATCTGACTCAATGTTAACGTGTCATAATCGCACTACGCTCTGTAACATGTAAACCAGAATATGAATGGAATATTTCATAAGCAAGTCATGTAAACATTATAAATTAAATAATGCATTATTCAGAATAAGGTCAATAGTCGGAGTGTGCTGTCTGTGTAAACATGGTCATTAAATGAAGTCTGTCAAAGCTCTGAAACACAGTCATATTTTGTTCTAACATTCCTCTTCTGTTCCAGGTAATGGTGAACTCTGTTTATATGTGGTTTGCTAATATTTTACATGGTTTGACTTCAGCTTCTCTGTACAACTCAAATGTTCCAACAGGCTAGTGAACGTTCAAAAATCAAAGAGGATGCTGCCCCTCACTCATGAAGACATCAACTGAAAATAGCAATTTTGTGTTGTTCATAAGCCACATGGAACATCTGTTCAAACTAATGAGTCAAAACTTCTCTGATGCTTCTGCTGAGGCACACAAGGGCACATTCACCAAAACTGTGACCTCACTCCACTCACGACAATAAGTCCTGAGAACTGAATTCAGCTCTAAACAAACATGTTACAAAGGGACAAGAGGAAAGACGATTAAATGCAAGTCTGTGTATTTATGAGAAATAATATCTTGTGAAAAACATCACTCCACTATATCAACATTATATTCTGTTCACATAGTTTCACATGCTTGGTATGAGCAGTAAAGTCAATAATACCGCTAAGTGTGGAATTTATAAAACTTGGAAAATGCAGTGTATGGTTTGGAACTGCAGAGTCATAGGTCATCTGTGTTATGTGAATGATCGTTAAAATTTGACATTTAAAGACAGGGATGTTTTGTACTGTACTCAAACTGAACAGCCAAGTGTGAAACACTGTGATCACACAGAGAGACGATTTGCATTAAGCACAAAAAAATCTCCCACATGCAGTTTTAGCTGCTTTGTCTCAGGCAGCATCCACATGAATACATTTGATTTCAGTTTGGTTTTCAAGCACTTAAAACAAAGCACATTGGAAATGCTGCCTGCCCCAATTTGGTTGAAAACTCTGGGGCTGTGTTTTAACTAGAATGGGCAGAAATGGAGATGTCTGGAAACAACAACACATGCCCCCCCCTTTTGTGATCCGAACACAAGTGGACAGCTTTAAGTACAGGTGTGAAAGCTCAGATGGAATAGTGATGCGTTCACGGCAGATCACATTCGGAGGTGTTCATGGGACCTCCTACTCAGCTGACGTCGTCTGACCCGCTGTAGTTTCACTGTAAATCAAAAGATATGTTTTCTCTTCTTGTTGATATGTTTCAGACCATGTCAATGTGATCGATACTTTCCTTCAATTGGTAAATATTTCTTCACAGCGCAGCTGCACGAGATTCATTCAGACTTTACTGACTTGTCTCTCTACCTCTCTTTCGCTCACTTATGCCAACACAGACACACACTGTCGCATGTGGGGCCACATTTTAATGCCAGGTATGAATGCACACACTCAGAGCTGTCCACTTGTGATGAGATAAAAAAAACATAATAATACCAGGTGTGTCGGGGTCACAGTCACCCGTATCTGCTTCCTGATTGGTTTTTATTAGTGTGAATAGACTACTCTCAGTGACAGTTCCACTCTATTGTCGGTCCAAGGAAAGAAATCCCTCCTCTCACTTTTCACTTATGTTGTTTCTTGTTGTAAGTATTGTCTGCAACTAAACAACCGAATGTAGAGTAGACAATTGGCTTCCTGTACACAACAGCAGGAGCAGTGTACATGACAGGCATTTTCAGGTGTTCATATGGATGGAGATTACTTTTGATGCAGAGCTAAAACGCTCACATATATAAAATGAAACATACAAGTATGGATGTAACCTCAGAAATAAGTTTTTGCTCTCCGTTTAGTATTAACAGATACAGAGAGCAAAGGACAGAAATCCACCAAAAACCAGTCCCTCTGGATGCAGGGTCACATTTTGATGCCTGCTGTAAATCTGTCTCCACTAGATTTTAAAAGAAGATCACGTCTAAGCAGACACAATGTCCTCTTACCTCACAACGGAAGGGTTTCTCTCCAGAATGCTGGAGTGAGTGAACTTTTAAGGACATGCTGCGCTTAAATGATTTCCCACAAGTCTCACAGGTGAAGGGCATGTCCTTGGTGTGAGCTGAAGAAAGATAAGAAAGAGGAAAACAACACAAAGATAACTGAGCATCAGTTTTGGTCTGACCCTAAACACAGATAAAGATTTTTTTGACATTCATATAAGAAATAATCAATAATATAAAACATGTCATAGTTCATGTTGAAATTAACTTTGTGATGTGTTTGGGCCATTAAGGTTTGAATTGTGAAAAAAAGGCTCCCACTTACCAACCATGTGCTTACGGACATGAGCCATAGTGTAGAACTTCTTCTCACAGATTTCACATGAGAACTTCTTCTCTGCATAACCGTGGACAATCTTAATGTGCTCATGCAGTGACCACAGCTTCTTAAAAGACTTGTTGCAGGAGACACACTAAAAGTAAAAGACATAAAATTTGAAAAAAAGCTTATTGTTGATGATTAGTATCATGAGCAACAAAACCTAGGGGCCATTAGCTGGTTGCAATTTGCTTTAATAGTTTCCTTATAGTCCAGCTCCCTCTGCTGGGGTAAATTCAGTATGGATTTAATTTGCTGAACCTCCTCTGGATATGTGCTGATCACAGTCATTAAACCAACAGGGAAAAAGAAACATGGATTTGATCAATGCTGGTTTCTTGATATAATTCCTGGTTAAATTTGATCAGGATTTATGCATTGTTGACTTTAATACCAAATAAAAAGCACTGTAATACTTTTTGTCCAAGAGCCACACCAGTCAAAGGTAAAACTATCAAGGACAATCAAACCTTACCTATTAATTAAACCTATGTATCTATTGAGAACATAAATTAATTTGCATTTTTGGAGAGATGGCAAGACAGAGAATTAAGATGAAACTCCAGAAAAAGGACTGAAAACCTTCAGCCACACTTGTAGTTTAAAGCTGTTAAATATCTCCTGACAGCCCACCACCACATAAAATAATAATTAAAAAAGAAAAATGTAAGAACTTTGTAAATTGACTTAGTTTGTGAATGTTGTCTGATGCTTTTTGGGGGAAACTTTCTTCATTTTATGACTTTGAGAGCTGCAGATGCTTTACTAGAATACTTATGAGGTATTCACATGTGTAGTGCAGACAAGTGCAGACCTTGTCATGTTTTGTTTTTTCAAACTGAATGACAGTGGATGTTATTTGAGATTGATCCAAAGACACAGACTTGAATGTCAAAGTTAAAAATTAAAGTTTATAGAACTGAATACTCAATTCCCTTTAAATTAAAACTCAGGTTAGGCACCTTTGGAAGCAAATACAGTTGTAAACTGAGTAGATCAATCTGTAACTTTTATTTTTTCAATAAATGATCTCTTTGTTTCTTTATGTTTGGGGTTGCGATCTTTCAGGAAAATAAATCTGGTTGTGTGAAGGCAGTTATCTCACAGACTGCACGGCTACACCGGAGAAGCAGCTGTGCAGAAATCACACTGTTACTACACCACAAATATGCAAAAACAACAAAGGAGTTTATATGATGGCCACAAAGCTGAAATGGGTGTCTTCAGATCAAACAGACTTGTTGCAGCATCTCCCACGTGCCTTCTTGCAAACACTGGCCAACATATCATGGGATTTTATTGCATGTCTCTCTCTTTTTTCCAACGTCCATTAAGCACCACGTTAACAGTTGTGTGCACATCGTCTTCCATTCCATCTTTTGTGTCATCAGAGTTGTACAGATATTTAATGCTTTATTTTCCTGTTCATTAGCATTTACATTTGTCATTACACTGATACGTTCTCATTGATAAAGCCTGAATATATGAAGGGATGACAACTTTTTATGGTCTGAATTTTAGATTTAGAAGTCAATAAAATGCATTTGAATTGCTAAAAAAGTCACATCTATAGATAAGCCCCATCTTTTTAAAGAAATCTTTCAATATAATGAAAGAAATTAATATTATGTGAACGGAAACTACCTCAGTTCTCATTTGTTTGTCCCTACTAGATGTGTGTGTTATCAGGTTCTGTATTAATGAATGCCATTTTCACCTTCATGAAGCTCACCTAGTTATTAGAAAACCTTTATCATCAGAAATTACAATGTGTCAAATGAGGTAAGCTGACAATACTTTCTTCACAAAGTAACTAAAGATGCAAATCATTCTAGGCAAAACAGGAGGCTAAAGTAAGCCATTCAAAACACATTACCCTTGGGTTTCAATATCAAAACACCTTTTTCAGTTTTAGAGAACTGAAAACATATTGGTTTCACTTTGATGAAATTCTACATGTTGGCAGCCTCAAAGGGTGTGTTAGCCAAGTCTGTGCTTCCTACTAATATTATAACAATTATGTTTTCAGATTTCTGGCTAATGCTTACTATATTAGCTCACATTTCTTACATTTAGAATGTGAGTGTGAGCTAAAACTAATGCTACTGCATAAAAAACACACAACAAATCTACTATAAATATGATAAATGCCAAGGCAGGTGCTAAATGTATCAAATTCTATCTAGGTATTTAAATAACAAATATCTTCTATCATGGAAATACACAGCTCTCCCATTTAGACTAACATTTGCAGGGGTAATGCAGAGATGTTTGCTTTACCTGGATGTTCTTCTCGCAGTCAGTCTGCTGATGTAAGGCCAGCTCACTCTCCAGGACAAACTTTTTGCCACACTTGTCACAAATCTGCATTCGTCTGTGTGTAACGTTCATGTGCTTCTCCAAGTACCAGCGAGTGTTGAACACACGAGGGCACTTTTCGCACGCCAGCATCTCCTTCTCCTCCACCTCTGCTTTCCCTCCAGTTGTTGTGGTTGTGGAACCTGCAGCCGATGGGGTTGACCTGGCTGACCTGCGCATGCCCTTTGGAGGCTCCATGCGCTTCCGACGCCCCCTGGTGGTCATTCCACCAGTGGCGGTGCTCAGAGCTGTTCTGAGGCTTTTCCTCCGTGGCTTGCTAGGAGCTGCTGAGCTACTGGCACCTCGACGGGCCCTCTTTGACCTTGTTCTTCGGCTTTCTATCTCATCCTCCTCGTCCTCCTCCTCTTCTTCATCAGGGCTGTCCTCGTCCTCTTCCTCATCTTCCTCCTCCTCATCATCGTCGTCGTCATCGTCGCTGCCAGCTCTCTCAGAGTCATCTGGTGTGGTTCCAGCTTTGTTGTCACCCTTGGAAACATGAAGAGTCTGGTTGTTCAAGTTAACCTCAACAATGATCTGCTCACGTTTAAAGCCTTCCTCTTCACCGTCCTCATCCTCCCCCTCTTCTTCCTCATCGTCGTCGTCATCTTCAGTGTCGTCAGACGTGCCGTTGTTGCCAGCCTGCATCTCTGCCTCCTGCACTGCTCCTCCCTCTCTGAAATACTGCTGATGCTGCTGTGGAGTCACATGTTGTGTGGGCAACTGACCAATGTTCTGATCGCCCATGGATGACTTGGCTGCCATTTTATTGTCCACTAACACAGAATAAGGCTTGCCACCAACCTCTCTCTTGTAAAGCTTGCCCGCCAGGTCCAGATCTGGGTTAGGGGAGTGAAAATAGGACTGGGACACTTGCGCCCTGCGTCCTTCCTCCTGTGACATCCCGCCAAGGCTCGGGACGGAAACCTCTTCCTTGAGGCTCTGGCAGGATTTCATGAAGAGGGGTAGAAATGGGAAAAAATGACTGCTATGGTGCCTTTAGACTAACGTATTCTACAAGGAGAGGCAGGGGACGCTGCACCAATCCCCCACCTTCCTTCTGCTAAGGAGACAGGAAGGAGGGGATAAGGTGAGAGACAGTCAACTTGATTCAAAGAGAGCATCCATGCTGTCCAAGGTAGGGAACACTGTCGGAAAGACATGCAATCTGTTCCAAGTTTTGTTTTATATGCTTAAAAAATTCTGACAGCAAAATCTGAAGCCTCAGTGTCTTTGATGCATAACATTTGAAGTTAAATTCCTCTCCAGATGTAGACCGGGTCCAGATTCAGTTTCTGTGAAGACTGCAGCTCTGCTTGGTAACAGTGTCTTCAAATTGCTGAGCAGGTAAAGAAAAGCTGAATGCCAGACATGGAACTGCTATAAGGACTTTTGTGTCTTGCTTGAAGAGCCATTTACAGAGCATTACCTGTGAGAAGGGACAGAGAAGAAAAAGGGAGAAATACATATGAAATATTAGAAGGTTCTCTTCAACTGTCAAGTGTCGCTATAGGGCAAGTTGAAACTAAAGCGATACTGTCAAGTTTTCAACACTGAGCCCACAGAAGTTTCAGTATTGTGTGAAGGACTTGAAACCACAACCTTCGCAAATGAATGTGAGAAAAACAAAAAAAAGGTGAAACACTTCAATATTTAATATAACAGAGATAGTCTGCTTTGTTGAGCTATCCAACATAATACATTTTGTTGACTTAAGATCACATTTACCATAGTTCTGGGTGATATGGCCAAAAATTATATATTATAATTATATTGCTTTGAAATTTTTACTCTGGTGTAAAGGTTGTAGTTTTAAATTCGTCATTATGAGCAAATCTGAAGCAGATCAATTACACGTTATACCTCCTCACTGTGGTTACACAATGCATAAGCAATATATCATTTTATATCAAACCTTTGTAATATTGTTAATGAGGAAATTTTTATTTTGATAATCAAAGATATAGTTTTATTGCCCAGCCCTAATTTACGACAAAGGAAATGCAACTTACTTCCATAATGATTAGAAAAGATTTATAATACCTAACAGTGTGACAATTAGAGCAAAAACACATGAAAAGCTTGTTAATAGTTCCATTTAATTAGAAATAGAAAATATGTAAGCACATATTGAATTGCTTTAGATCATAATTAGTAGTTGCTCCAGTCAAACTCTTTAAAAACCTGGAAAAACTATTTGCATAATCTACAGGAAAAAACAACCAAAACCAATATGATGGCAAAACACTGATAAGACACAACTTCACCCTAAGTTTTAAACAATAAATGCCAAAGTGCCCCCACCGCCCATTGACTGTTAACTGTTAGAGAGCGTAGCGTAAACCACAGCTCAAGAGCCTGTATTGCAAACAACCACAGGAAACTGTATATCAACCTTTCAATGATGCCTAAGCACTGCACAATTTGAAACCTACAGTCATATCATCACTTTTATGCAAGTTAAAGATAAATACAACAGTATTTATGCAAATAAATATATCTCCTTGTGGACTCTTTGCTTTTATACTGTTTGTTAGTTCTGGAGCTCGACATACATCTGCTGGGGTATCCCTGGCTGACAGTTGGGTGACCTTAAACAACCTCACACATACCATAATGAGTGTGCAACAGGACGGTTGGTTCACTAGAAAACCTCCCAAAGCCATTACCTTTCTTGGTGACAGCAAACATTCTATTGTGCGTCTACAAACATCTTTTGTTTGACTTTTATTAACAACTGATGCTCCAATGTATGCAAAGAAAATATACAAAGGCCAAGACGGACTTACATATTCAAACAAGGCCCACCTGACCCATCAAGGGGACCGATCTTTGTTCAAGTCTTTTATTTACAAGCATGATTAACATGAGGGGTTTGTTAGAGTGCAAGAAAGAACAAGAGTGTGCCTGGGGGAGATCAACAGTGACATGATGACTGTAGAGGAACCCAGATTATTTTGAAAACGATGACTGATCTTTATCAGAAATATTTTTCAAGGGCAGTATTTGACACCTACATTTAATGTTACATACAGTACAACTGTCCTTGCAATATCTTCATTATTTAGAGTTCACTCCCAACTCTTATTCACACTGAACATAAGCTGCACCTGCTTACAATTATATTAAATAAAACCAATAGTTTCAAACCACAGACAGACATTTGAAAGCTAAAAAGGAGACTTAGTGTTTTAAGCTAACATTATTCAGACATTGTGCTAAACACAACATTCAATCAGAGCTTAAGTTTACCAGATTTTCTTGTTAAGCTTGTCATTTCATTACAATAGAGTGCACCTGGCAGATAGAAAAGGGGCCAAATTATGTTTGTGTTTTATTAAAGCCAAAATAAATCTGTTCTACCAGTTTTAAACTCAAAGTGAAAGCTAGTTATGCAGAATTTGACTGTCAACGCATACAAGACACACCTGTCTTCCTGTGCACGCCGACTCTGATCCTTTCTGAGAATTGGACAGCAGCTCGAGAGCATTAAGACCACAGGGGGAGGGCGGGCTCTGCGCTCACAGAGCATCTCAACTCACATGTCTGTCTTAGACACAAAGCCTGATAGATTATCCTGCCTCTGGATGACAGAGGAACATAAATTCCATGAGAAACCACTGCTGAACTTGACTTAAAATGCAACCAGCTGGTTCCATTCTCAGTTATCAAACTCATTAAAATAAACAATACAACAGCTCACTTCAAGAATGTAAATCATTTTTTCAATTACACAATAAAAATTATTAAAACAGTGTTAAATTCACAGCCTAAAATTGCAAACATGCACAAATAAACAGTGTGTTATTTTTTCAATATTGAAAATTATCTTTAGCCTCGCTTTCCGTTATCATGAATGAGTCATTTCAGAGATTCACTCATAATGCAATCCTTTGATGTGGGGCACTAAGTAGTGTGCAGATTTCTCAATATCACTGATAATTAGTTGACACAACCACGTTGTCACATTGAGAGGTCAAAACTTTGCACCGAATGACTCTCTGACAGCCCATTTCAGTGATCCAAAGCAGTACTAATGTTCAGCATAACTTGATAAAAAATATCAAAGTTTTCAAGATAACAACCAATTTAAAGCCTTTCTTGACTCTTTCTTGATTCTGAGAACTGAAAGAGAAGCCGAAATTCATTTCATATAGGGTAAGCCACAAAGCCTCATATACCGAGAAGATTCAACTGTGGCTTAAGATTTGAATGGCACAGGATGGGAAGCCTTACAGCACTACACGGCACGAGTGTTCACAAGAGCTTGGGCTGAGCGGTGACAGTAAAGCAGATGAGACGAGTCTGAAGCAGCCAATTTGTGTGACGTTTACTTCTTATCATGCAGCAGTGCTCCTCGAATCCACGCTCCCTCTAAAGTCTAGACTTTAATGAGCTTTCCCTTTTGCAGCTTGTAGCGGACCGTGTGAGGGTTCACATTCCTCACTCTGTCCTAACTCATAAGACCTTAACCAGCTCACTGTGTGGTGCACTGCAGGGGTGCTCCGAGCCGCTGTGGGTATTTGGCCCTCCAACTCATAATCAGGTCATAGAGCAGTAACCATTGTTTTTGGTCTGAGGTATCATAGGAGAGATATGACTCCATGTTTCTCTAGTCTCATCATCACCACATAGAGACAGATAGTTTCATACATGACAGGAGAGACTCCACTGATGTTTACAACTGTGATCTCTCTGTTCTGAAAGGGGGGTGGGGGATAACATGGATATATTCAGCACGAGTCTTCTGTTCAAAGTCTGATTCAGATTGTAGAACAATGTTCGAATACAAACGTGAGGACTGGGTCAAAAAACTGCAACAAACGAGGTTACACAGCGCGAAGGCAACCCTAAACATACATTTGCAAACTATAACGAGATGTGGTGCAGCAGCTATCATCTGCTTTTATAGTGCTCGCAGGACACAAGCTACTATTTTCAGCCACAAGACCACAGCACACGAGTTGTGGTGTGAATGAAGCACAGAAAGCGTTAAAACAAAAACACCGAACTGCAGAAACACTGTGCAGGCCCGGCCAACTTAGGCTACCTAGCTAGCTAGCAATATTCCATAGGTACTAACCTGCACACACATGACAAGCTAACTTGGCTACATTAGCTCAAGGTGCAGCCATGATTATTTGAGTATAGGTTACTCGACCTGGACAACAAACACACTACACTGCACATGCAACACGAGCTAAACACTAGCATTTGCTGACATGCACGAGCTAACAACAGACACAAGACTCTCACTTAAGACCCCAAACCGCCCTGATTGGGGCTAGTTAGCTCACAGCTAGCATAAGCTCGGATATTTAGCGTCAACGTTACCCTGGATTTCGACACAGCACCTTGACGGGGTTGACAGTTTCTGGAGCGACAGGGAGGACGACTAAGAGCCGATGTCACGCTCGGTTATCACCGGTTCTTTCCTGTGGGGCAGGACGACACAAAAACCCGGAGCTGTGCAACGCTGCTCCTGACAACTCAACTCGATACTGTCACAAAGTCACTGCTGGGAGCTCCGCCGCTTTCTCACCTTAGCTCCGGCCACCGGCTACCGGCGACCCGTGTGCGCTGTCCCCGGCGGCTGCCACGCATGTCACCCGCGCACGCGGGCTTGAAATGAAGTTGTGTAGCAACATTTCTGTTGTCGGTTCGATGCCTTACCTCCGCCGGGAGCGACCTCCCTCCTGCGCTCGTGCAATCACAGTTGCACAGATTCGGGGCTGCACGCGCACTTCTCTCGCTCCCTCCACATTCGCGGACGTGCATTTATGAACCGTCGGCGGTTAGTTCGGTCCACAGTGCGGGAGGTTGTTGTTGTTGTTATTTGTTGTTTGTTTGTTTGTTTGTGGGCTCAGCGGAGGAACCTGCGCCGGTGCGTCCTCAGCCCCGCTACGTGGCCCCGGCACAGCTCTCGCGCGTACCACCACCGCCGCCGCCGCCGTCCGTCGTCCCGCGCTCATCCCAGGCCGCGCGACAGCGTGTCTGGTTCTCCCGTTCAAAGCAGACAGGGCACGGCGGCGCGCGCTCCCGCTGGGTTTAAATCACTGATTGATTAAATAATAATGTGGAGACTCAGAGGAGCATTTCTCCTCTAGATAGAGTCCTGATGATGTAGTTAATCTAGTCTATTTTACTATCAACTCTCACACTTTAAAACGAGCATTTTAAATTTGTTTTTATACTTTATTATTTTTCACAATTCTTGACAGTGGGCTCACAGTGGGCCTCTGAGGACAATTTATCCTCTCAAGAGAAAGTCCTGATATTGCACTAAATGTAGGGTATTTTATTATGAACTCTCAGACTAATGTCAAGATTTATTTTTACTTTATAGTTTTTCACAATTCTTGACAGTGGGCTCACAGTGGGCCTCTGAGGACAATTTATCCTCTCAAAAGAAAGTCCTCATATTGTATTTAATTTAGGCAAATTTTAATTGACACAGCTGTTAAAATATATTTTTTATTATTTTTACTTTATTATTATTTTTCACAATTCTTGACATCGTGAGACTGAGAAAAATGTATCCTCTCAAAAGAAAGTCATCATATTGTCAGCAATTTAGTTTATTTTTTACTATTAACTGTTTATTATAATGATGTTGTGTTTTTTATATTTATTATTTTTCACAATTCTTGACATTGGGCTCATAGTTGGCAGGTATTTACAAAACAAATAAACCCTACTCCATCTATGTAGAGATATCTTCAGTTGCCATAGGGCTGCCAAATTCAAAACTGGATTATCTGAGCAAAGTGGGCCACCATCCACAGGTCCTGTAGGAGCCCTAAATTTACCACAAATAATAATTTAGTCTAGATAATTTGATTGATTGCAAGTTTGTTAAGAATCTGTGCAGTTAAATTATTTTGGTTTTCAACAAGGTCAGCATAGGAATGTGTCCAACTGTTTGAGTTTATATTGTGGTCAATTGACGTAAAATAGAGTTAAATCATAATTTTTTTCTGTGCCACGTCACTGACACACAGTCCTCAGGGAGGGTACTGTTACAAGTAGTGTGAGACTCATTACAAAATAGTTTTCAATATCAATACATCTGACGCATTAACCATTATTAATACATCATTATTGTTTTCTTTAATAATTAATTGATTGTCTAGTGAAATATTAAATAAATAATCCACAATTATTCCCTGAAGTCCATGTGACCAAATTACTTTTGTTGTTTGACCAACAGTCAAAAACTCAAAGATGTTTAAACAGTGATTATAACAGATGTTCAGAATTTAGTGCATTTAAGTTAACCCTAAAAATTATTTCAACAATTTTTCAATTATCAAGATTTTTGACAGTTACTGATAATCATTTAATTGAGTAGTTTAATTAATAATTTCTGCTTTTAAGCACTGACTGAGGATCCAGAACCCTCCGAGGTATGTGGACCATGGTCATATATTCCATCGAATAGACTTGTTTTAGCCTTTGAATCCACTGAGTTGTGTTTCATGGAAAAATAACTAAATTTTTCTTAGTAATCATTAAAAGACTTTGTAAGATATACCTTTGGTTGCTTGTCTCTTCTGGGACAGTGTAAAATGCACTGGATCTAGTTGGATGTTGATGTCCCTGTTGTACAAGACAATACCAGAAAATATGTGTACTTGAACATTATCAAAAAAATTTTGACACTTATGATTTGTCTCAGGAAAGGATTTTATGTATTTCCCCCTTTTGTTTTTATGGAGACCTTCAAGTAAGCGCTCCAATGAAACAGTGGAGGAGGGCTTGAAAATGAATATATAAACCTCTAAAAACTAACGTTCAGCCGCTTTAATCTAGAAAACCTACTTTAATCATGCTTGATTTGATCTTAACTTTACTTTTACAGTGGTAACTGCTTTCTTTCAGAATGTTGTTGCAATATGTGTACGAAACAAACAGGTGCTTTTACACAAATGAAAATCCAACATGTGGGTGGTTATTTGAATTGAACTACATGTCCAAAAACATTTTGGATTTTCTTGACCTAAAGATCTTCATTTTTCTTAAGGCGACACTACAAAACCTTCTCTCTGTCATCAAAGCCAATTTCATCATTATTGAAACATTGAGTTAAAAGTGAAGCACCATTAATACGTGCACCCATCTGGTTCTCTAGCATTTTAATCAAAAGAAGAGGATGCAATTATGAGGCACCCTCATGTAGTGACAATTAAGATTACACTCAAGGTCTTGAACAACAAGCATGACCACTGGGAGGTAGAAAGACAATTTTATTAAGCTGAGCCATTTGGGAAACATTGAGCGTATTACTGTTTCCACATGAAGTAAAGACAACAGTAGAGAATGAAAGATCATTATCTACTTTCTGACAGGCACATTCAAATTGACAGGGGTTGACAACATGATTGAATTTGCAAGAAAGCAGATAAACGTCAATTTCCAATCCATCTCATAAGTCAGGACAGAATTTAATTCAAATCAATAAACAATTTCTCGTCAGTCATGTCTTACGGATTTGAATATGGTTAAACAATCAAGTGTTACAGCACAATAACAGAGTAATAGCGTTCATCTTTCATATTTTTTCAGCTTATGTTTTAAAGGAATCACACTGTTTTCTCATCATGTAAAGATCATTGTGACTTTCCACACATCCCGTGCTGTATATCTGACACAATGGAGCAAGACAAATCTTTAGAGAATTTACTGCATTGTCAATTCTTCTCAAAACAAAGCACTATATATATATATAATATGTGGGTTAACAGATTGAGCAATTAACCCCTCTCCACTTCCTTACACATGGGTGTATTTCATAAATGTATCCCATCAGTCCTCTCACTTTGTCTCCCACCATGCTACTATTAGCAGAACCCAGTCCAGAGTTGGTTAGAGAAAGAGTGGGAGGAATGTGTGTGAAATTGGGAGAGTCCATCAGTGAATCCTCCAACAACCACTTTCATGGGCCGTGTAACAGAGGGACACAGCAAGAGTGGATGTCATCACTGGGGCAACTGGAGCAGCGTGCCCTGTCCTGGGGGTAAGTAAGTGACGTTGCGTGAGCGGGAGAGCTGGAAGGCGATGTCCTCAGCTGCCTCCAACTTACGTAGCTCTACCAGACCATCACCAGCATCCATTAGGGAGTTGGCGATGAGCAAGGCAGCTTGGGAGTCTCCCTCTGCAGAGATGATGGAAGCCTGCTTCTGTTGCTCTGCCTAAATTAAAAAAAAAAACTCAAGCTTAGATATTTCACCCTCAACAGGGACTGCTTACAAGGTTGTAAATGCACAAGTAGTATAGGGATGATATGCATGTTAAAAATAATACCTTTTCAACAACAAATCGGGCCCTCTCAGCCTCCTGCTGAGCCACCTGCTTCATCTCAACAGCCTCTGTGAACTCCTTGCCAAAGGTCAAGTGTGTCTGAAAGAGCAAAGTACAAACATTTCCACTGGTTAAAATCCCATCAAAAGTATAAAATGGACATTGTAATAATATTTGCAAGCAGCTTCATACCAGTGAGACATCATCCAAGATCAGGCCGAAGGTGTTGGCTCTTTCTGTAAGGTCCTCGCTGACCTGCTGAGACACGAGCTCTCTCTGGGTAATGAGCTCACCAGCATCAAACCGAGCCTGTGAGAAAGACCCCCACGGTAGTTTACAAGTCGCTTTTTTCTTCTTTTTCTCAACGAAAAAAGTGAATCAGTCTCTTTGTTATTCTTGTTTAAACAATGATACTCACTACTACAGCCTTCAAGACCTCTGTGGTGATGGATGGCAGCACCCTCTCGTCATAGTCCTCACCAATACTGGTGAAGATGCGTGGCAGCTGGGTGGTTACCGGCCGGAAAAGGATACGCAATGTGATGTTTACATTCTGCAGATCTGTGGGGTGAACAGTTCAAATTTAGTTCACTCACATTGTAGTTGTATCCTTAAACAATTAGTATAGCCTGCTGATTTTTGGGAGACTCACTATGTTTATCAAGCAAATGCAGAAGGCAGCAGAGCAATGACTAAGTAGTTATTTCATGTACCTTTACTGCCGGTGATGACAGGCACGTTGCGTGGACGGGAACGGCAATCAAAGATGATAGGTTTCTGAACCCAGGGAATGATGAAGTGGGTCCCTTCACCAGCAACAGTATCTTGCACTCCTCTGAACCTGTCGAAAATCACAGCCCGGTGCCCTGCATCCACTGTGGAGGGAACAGATAATCACTCTCTCTGCCAAACAGGTTGTGTGTACAGCATTCTAGTTGGTAGTTTTGTTTGTTTTACTTTTGAATAGTTTATAGCTATATATAGCTCTATAAGACTGTCAAACGTTTGTTGAGAACTTTTCAAGTCACAAGAATTACATTGGCGAAGAGCTACATGGCTGTCCACCTGTCTATCGTGGCTGCTATCAGGTTTACTATTGACATGTATTATACATTTTTATTATTATAAATAATAACAATAAATAATGCAGTTAAGTGGGAAGATGTATTGCAATTGTCGATCTTTATAGAAAACACTTGGTTCTCATCTCTATATCTAATTACCATAAGAAACAGAGACTATAAGTGAGTGGTTGTATTTAACAGGCCGTATTCACCCAAACTGAGAGTATTGGCATCACTGATATCAGAGTAACCACTGTAATAACTACACATAAAGGCCGAAATTGAATTTACTCAAATTAGTGCTTTCAGTGTGGATAGTAATGAGTTTTATCTACTGCTACCAATTAATACTATATTTCTGTGTTTAACCTGAATTATTTACTTGAACAATTGTACAGTCTAAAAAAATGAATTTCAATTTCAGAATACTTATTTAAACTTACACATCATAAACAAAGATAAATTAAAAGTATTTAGTTTACCAGACTGCAACTGAGCATTTACAAACTTGGGATTATAAACCTTTTTAAATATAACTAAATATTGTTCAAACATTGTCCTGTGACCATTTTTGAACAACTCTCAAAGCCCAAATGTATTCAGTTTATTATAATATGAGAAAGACTAATCCTCTCTAAAGCTTGGAAATCAAACCATTTATCATCACATGTCAATGTCAATCAAATAATCGATAATAGGTTTCAGGCTCACATCTGTCCAGGACAGGAACTCTCACACATTTGATAGCAAACAATTGAATAGATGAGGGAAGTGTCCAGTTGACCAGCACTCACCATTGTAAAGGGCAGAGTTCACAACACTTCCACCGATGGCAAGGGCCAGACCCAACTTCCCAATAGACTCGAACAGCTTGGCCATGATGACAGCAACCTTCATGTGAAGAAGAAGAAGAGAAGACAGAGTGGTTCCATTAAACATTCCTCCCACACACTGTCAACCACTCAGCGCTTTGTGACAACGTGTCTTTGGGAAGCCAGGTTAAACCCCCTCTTTAAAATAACAGTTGGCTTTGGCCTTGGAATGACTGATGCCAAGGCTGAGGGTGCTAGCTAGCATTAGCTCCCCAGCTAGCAGTAACCCGCGGCCGCTGGAAGGCAAAGCTGAATATACATACTACTATCTCTAAGCTAAGAGAGGATTCATGCAATACTACGCACAATACTCGAGGGACATTTTATAACGAACATAAAGCGAGTGTCGGCCGAGCGCGAGTAGCACGCCGGGTGCGCATGTTACCTCTCACAGATGGACGTACCCAACACTCGTGATTTAACGTTATCTACGGAAAACACGGAAAACGAACTTCTCCTGATCGCTTTAGAATTGTTGCTACGCAAACATTTAACGACACATGTCAGTGTTTTCACTGCAGGTGTTGTAACTCACCTCGGATCCTCTCAGATGTCTGTGACCTCCACCGGACACGACGTACAACACATGAGGTGCCTGCTCTCTGCGCATGCGCACCGGATGAGGCAACGACGCCTCTGATTGGACAAATTTCTTCTTTTACGAACCGTGCAACTACTTTAATTACGCACCACTGCCACCTACTGTGTCTGACTGGACCCCACATGCTTTAAGCATTAACTGACTGCTTCATTGATTGAATAAATAAATGATTAGATAAATAATAGTCCAATAACCCAATCAGTATCTACGATTATCTCACTGTAGGCTGTTCAAATTAATCTAAGCGAGCACAATGGAGTGCGAGAGTTTAATTTCTGCTTAACGTTTGCTTTTTCAATTCATTATTTTCTACTTTCTATATTACATTGTGTCTCTGTTTTGTGATCTCTGAAATGTACTATTACTACTATACTACTACTATAGTACTATTCTCAATACACTGTTAAAGTTACTGCATTAACACTGTATTTAAAGTACTATAAATGCATCAAAAGTAAAGGTAGAAAGTCAGATGTGTGGATTATCTGTAATAATGCATTTTATATTATTAATCAGAATCCAATTCATGTTGCTGTTTGATATAAATATATAAAAACAGTATAAGCTCCTCCTGACTGCTGTAAAAAGTCACATTTATTCACTTCCATTATCTGGAGCCACTGAAAAAACTGTGACATTTACTCATTAAATATATATATATATATATATATATATATCCATATACCTTACCTTATCTTATAATACTACCACGCCTATGCTTTACTGTGGTCATCTGCCATAATTAGAGCTCATACTTTTGATAATATTTAAACCATCCAATGTGAAACAATTCCTGATATTATAAATTGTTATAAAATAAACCAAAACATAATAAAGCACAACACTATACAATAGAATACAACATGACCGTTTTATTATTATTATTATTACACGAATACAATATTATTATTACATTTCTATTATTTGAATTATTAATTATGTGAAAAAAAGAATCTGAAACGAAACCTGTCAAATAAAAATGTAGAGGAGTAAAAGTACTCTGAAAGAGTCCAAGTATAAAGTAAAGCGGAAACCCTCGAGCAGAGTTCAGATTGAAATAGAACAAACAGCACTCGGTCGCCCTCTCAATGTGACATGAAGAATCACACTACGGGCTGTAGTTTCACTTTCCTCCGGTGGTGTGTAAAGTGTGACGGTCTGTGAGAGATAGAGAGAAACCGCCCGCGATCAACATCTGTAAGGTCAGTGCTGATTACCAATCGGACAGATGTTTTGTGATCGATTGTTACAGGGGCGGGTGCAGACACACGATCCGTCGATAGATGAGCTGATCAGTTTGGATGTGTGTGATTTTTTTTTCTTCCACTTCCGCGACTCTCAGCTCTGAGTGCTTTGAGACTTTCTCCCTCGCGTTTCTATGGCAGCCTGCAGAAGTTAACGTTCAACATGGTTCGTTCATCTCGCAGGTTTGGCTGAGTTGAAAAATGAGTGATTAAAGCGGCAGAGTTACAAATAAGTATTGGCTGTCTGAATAAAAGCACCATTCATGTCAGTTCACAACAGATGCAGCTGTGGGGGGAGTTTAGTCCACAGACGTTGGTGTGAAGATGACAGACAGTAAACTGAAGGTGGGAGGACGAAGGGGCGTTTACTTCATCACCTGGCACAATCTGCGCACATTACGCACCATTTACGCATTTCACCAGGGCTGCACGATATGGCCCCAAAATTCACCAATATGAAATTGTGGATTTTTGTTCCAGAGTGAACGTTGTGGTTTTAAACACTTTTCTATGAGTAGAGAATGACAAACACCCAATCAGAAAAAGGGAGTAGAACCACAACCAGCACCCCTTCACAAATTGTATGACACAATACTATAACTTAGATGTCAAGCTCACCAATTATACAATAAACAAGATACTAGAAGATATTTTGAAACACAAGATACAATCAGATATAATCACAAACACATAAATCAGTACATAAGTAATACACTGAAGTTATTGGAGGCAGTAATGGAAGATTATTTTTGTGTTTTTTTGTATTATCATCACAATCATTGATATTGTTTTATTGCCCAGCCCTCCCGCATACATAAGCTGCATTTGCACTAAAAGCAAAAACATTTTAAATTAGAATTAGAGGTATAATATGCTGGATGGCTCAAAAATGTCTTGCAGCTAAATATTGACAAGTCTGAGGTCATGATGATTGGCCCTGACACAGTAAGTACCTGCACCTCAATGCACCATAGGTTCTCTATCCCAAAACATTTGGTAAACATGTACAAATCTTGGTGTCACATTGAATAAGCATGGCAGCACAGTATCCAAGTTTTTTTGCAGCTCAGGAAACTCAGTGCATGTTTTAGCAGAGAAACCTAGAGACTGACATTCATGTCTTCATTTCTCTTCACCTGCCTGAGCCAACAGAGCCAACATAAATTACAGCTTGTCCAAAATGCAGCAGCCAGACTCCTCACCAAATAAAGAGAGCATGTTAGCTTCTCTTCATTGGTTTCCAGTCAATGATGTTAAGAATTTATCACTGACCTTGACGGCCCATGCTGGACTTGCAACTGAGTGCATTTCGGATTTTTTGACACCACATTTGCCAGATTGTAACCTGAGGTCCACAGCGAAGGCCCAGTCCGAAGTCCATGCTGAGGACTAGAGGGGACTGAGCCTTTTTTGTCAGGGCTCCCACTCCTTTAAACAACCTCCTTCTGGCAAACTCCTTATCATCTCTCTGAAAGACATGTTTTTATAGGCACGCTTTCTCCTAGTCCTGATCTTACCAACTAGTTTGACACTTGACACACTGTTTTATTTGATCTTGTTTTTAATTTTTTCTCATCTGTAACTTTTTCTATTTCTCAATCTGTGCTGTAATGCGTTGTGATCTTTAAATGTTTCCTATTATTTGCTTTCAATTTTTAATTTTTAACTTGTAATGCATCTTGTAACAGTTTTATGAAAGGTGCCATATAAATAAAGTACATAGTGTTTTTTTTTCTACAACACAGAAGAAATATCTGCTGTTGGAGCATTAATATCAAGTATCAGCTTCCAGAACATGACATTGTCTTCTCCTGCGGATGTTTGATAAAATCAGTGTCAGATGAACTGGAGGAGACACATTCATAAAATTTGAGTTGGAGAATTATTTGCTCAGAATGTCAGAAATAAAAAGGTTATTGATGTTGGCAGCTGAAATTGAAATCTCATGCTGATGTAGTGACTGAGAAACCCCCAGTAGAGGGTGTCACATTATCAGTTATGTATTTCTTCCTATTTGCAAGGGTGGGGTCTTACATGTCTGCCCGAAATGAACATTTACAGCTTCTCTAAGCAGAATTGTGCTTTGGCTGTTTTGTCATCCACATGTTGATGTTCACGCTCACCATTCCTGTTTGTGTGTTGCTTCCTTAGCAGAGAGTTTCTCCATCACAGATGACTGTAATTGTGTTCCCCCCAGTAGATGGCAAAGCGGGAGTGGACGGTGATGGTGAGCGGTCTGCCCACAGACATTGATGGTGACAGACTGACAGACAAGCTAATTATCCACTTCCAGAGGGCCAAGAATGGAGGAGGTGAAGTAGACTTCATCACTTTGACCAAGGCAACACCTGCCTTTGCCCTCATCAACTTCGAGGACAGCAAAGGTCAGTGGGGTCAGCTCCTGTGCATGTTTGTGCATATGAAGTGTGTGTGTAAGCGTGTGGGTGTGTTTTATTTTTATTTCACTCTTGCCTCAGCAACGTAAATGTCTTTTTTCTCCAAAGCCCATTTGAATTGAACTGAATTGACTGGTCTGAAAGAACATAAACACGCAGGTCTCAAGGTGCAGCATAAAACGCTTCATTAACTTTCGCTTTACACACTCCAAAAGAAAGTTGCAACCATTTCCAAAGCAGCAGCAATAGTGAGGGATTGCAGTCTGTTGGCTGTCACCAGTGATTTACACTGAGCTGGAATGTTGGCAATGGTCAATGTAGTGGCCAATAGTTAAAGCGCTTAGTCAGGATGCTTCGCAGACTGAGATTGATTTCCCTCTGGTGACCCCTCTCACACAGTGGCACACAGAGTCATTCAACACAGCCGGCACATTCTGGAAGTGGATGGGAAGACGTATATACTCACTGCAACTGAGTATCACGAAAGCCTAGAGCCAGACAAGGTATGTTTGAAGATGTCATTTGGAACAATTCTTCATTATGTCATATATTTTGTTGACCTGTGTACATACATTATACAAAATGTTTCCAACAATGTTGAAACCCAGAGAAATGTCCATATATATATTCCAAGGACGTTTCATTTCGTTCAACTTTTAAAGGTTCAGTGTGTAGAATTTAGTGGTGAAGTTGCATATTGCATCTGAATACCCCTAACCTCACTCTACACTTCCAAACATGAAAGAGAACCTGTGGTAGTCTTCAGTTGAGATAAAAACCCTCAACTTACTTAGTTTATCCAGTTTGGAAGACTGTAAAAAACATGGCAGCCTCCTTAAAGAAAACAATTTGTACAATTTAGCTGATCACACACTAGTGAAAACATCACCAGGATTATTTCATATTCAATTTCTGCCATGAGATCCCTTATACCTAAATCTGACAGACTGAACCTTTAACTGCGTCATATCCACTTTACTCGTGGCTTTGCACATCTATGCTATTACTTCCAGGGCAAACAACACAAGGAAGGAAAAACACCCTGTTAGCCAGTCGGCTGTTTTTCCTGCCACTGTTTGTATGTTACTCATAACGTATCATGATTATTGACCTACGTTTATTGTGAATAAAACCTTTTTATACATTAACTTATCCATGAAGATGAATTTAAGGTACAGTTCAATCAGCAACTCCCATGGTCCCACGCTGCATCACATCATCATCAAACAAGGTCTTTTGTGATTGTTTTGATTAAGAGACGCCTACATATTGTACGTTTAACTAGAATGTTGGAAAATGTATAACATTTTCTTTGTTTTACTGAGGAAAATCCATGAATGCTTGTTGTCTGTCTTCATAGGTCATTGTAGGTTTATCAGCAACTGTCAACTGCAGCCAGCTTCCTGGGGGAATACAGGCACTGAAAAACCTCCAGAAGAGCCACCCTGGTGTTGCGATAAACTATGACGCAGAAGAATTCTGCACATTGCGTGGTGCTTACTCCAAAGTCCAGGCTGCTATGGATCAAATACTTGGGCATCCTGGAGGCCCACAATCAGCACAGAGGGACTCAGGTCAGCCTGACCCGACTTGCTCCACGTCTGCTCAGACCGAAAGGAAGTCTCATAATCAGGGGTCAGAAAGTGACAGCAGGAAACCCAAAAGGCAAAGAGAACAAAGCAAGACAACAAGACACTCAAGCTCTCATAGTGACCTGATGCCTATTAGTTATGACGGTGAAGATAGTGACCAGGCCGAGGGTGCAGATCTTTGGAATTCTGGGCATCCGACCGCATCAGAGGAGGACTTCTCATTGATTGTGGATGCAGACATGTTCCAGTATCTGCAGAAACACTGCTGGAGAGAATACCAGTACATCCTCAGTCAGTATGGTGTGGAGGTGGTGGATATGACAAACCAGGGGTTGACTACTCTGTTTCTGCAGGCTACAGCAGGAGTGAGGAAGGATGGTCAACAGCAGGAGCGCCAGGCGTTGGCAAGAAAGGCATTAAGTCAGCTTTACCAGGAAAATGAGACCAAGATCCGTCGGGCTCAGCTCCCCAAGTGTATTCTGTCCCCAAGGGGGGGACTGCAAATGGCTATAGAAAGCTTAAAGATCCGACTTCCAAAGCTTCTTCTGAATGAGGATGACAGAAATATTAATATCATTGGTAGTAGCAGTGACGTATCTGAAGCGAAGCAGTTCCTTCTCCTGGACCATGACAAAGTGAGTGCTAAAAAAGATGATGTAGCCAGTCTCTCTAGATATACCTCTCATGATTCAAGTTCATTTACTCCTGGTGATGAGGTGAGAGCCACTACCATGTCCTCCGCTGAAGAGTGTTTGGACGACGGGCTGGAGAGGTCAGACGAGGATAAGAGGAGAGCTAAAGGAACCAGAAGGTACAAACTAGCAGCTCTGTTAAAGGAATCAGGGCTGGCTACATTAGGTGATCGACCAACTGACTTCAACTTCCGAGGGCTCTCATCTCCAGGTAGACAAACGCGCACAGGGCCCATTTTAGGGCATGACGTCCTCTCTGAAACAGCAGGGATTCCTGGGGAAAGAGTCTCTACAACAAAATCCCAAATTGCAGGAGGAGACATCACCTTAAAAAGTGGAGATTTGTTTGCCCCTTTGCAGAATAAAATCTCCTTGAACTCAAATTTAATGGACACTGGACCCAAAAATGTAACATCCGCTATAAGCACTACTCAGTCCAGTTTGTCAGGAAGTACTGTGTCTTCACCTGTAGAGTCTAGATCCTCATTGAAGCGAGCCAATAGTTTCTCAGGAGTGCCTCAGCTGAAGGCTCAGACTAAGAGTCAGAGGAGTCACGACGACTCCAGCGAGTCTGAAGTCAGAGCCAGGGGCAGGTCCTCTAGCTTCAGTACCCAAACTAAAGGAAGGGACAAGCGGGAAGTCTACAATGCAGAGGTTACAGTGTTCATGGGGATGTGGCAGCACATAAAAGAAGCCTTCAGTACCCGAATAGACGACCTGACTTCTGATGTCCAGATTAAAGAAAATCGACTGGCAGGAAGTAGTGAGGTGACCCTCATCGTGAGTGGGACAAACCCGTCCAGAGTGAGTTCATGTCACCTGGGTTTACAGAAGCTGGTTGAGTCAGTGAGGGTGGACTTCTCTGTGCAGGAGCTGCTCCTGCCAGAGCTGGGCGTCTCTGATCCTGCAGATGAAACTCTACAGGCTTGTTGTGCTGAGATGCGGAGTCGCTTCAAGAAGGTCAGTATCCAGGTTCTGAAGAAGAGCTTGTTTCTTCTAGGTCCCAAACAGTTGTGTTCTCAGGTTGGTGCTACACTGCGGGAGGTGTTTTCTGGAGATGTGGCCCTAACACCCAAACGACAGGACTTCTCTGCCCCCTCCACCTCCAACTGGAATCCGCCCACTTCTTTACAAATGAATGAGGAGCAAAATACTTTTGAAAGCAATTCTCAGGTGATGCTAGAAAGCCAAACAGGCACTGATGGAGGCCAGGAAACTGGAACAAACCATAAAAGTTACATCGATGAGAAAGAGCCTATGAATGGACGTGTGAATTCACCATTAGTGAGCAAAAACCCTGTCATTATGCAGGAAGTGAAAATTATGGGTACAACAGAGATTGATGGACAGGAGGCCAACACACTAACCAACAATGCTACTGCAGGAAGTAGGAGACCTGTGAATGGTGTCGGGGCAGCGACAGCCTGCATTGATAAAGCCACTGGCCTTCATAAGAAGGAGAGAACCATGCACCTTCACCAAAAAGATGGCACGCAACAACAAAAAGCCGAGATCAAGGACACCCTGAGGGAGTCCAGGGCGGGTCAGTTAGAACAGGGTTACATCTGTGTGTGTGGGGACAGTGGGATGTCAGTAATGAGGACAAAGTGTGGGACCACTTTGTGCTCAAAATGTCTGGACTCAGTGCACGTCCACTGCAGAGTTTGTCATGCAGCGGATCCAACACCTCAGGGCATCCAGGGCAAAATGAGCTACTCTAAGCTGCATTTCAGTTTACCTGGTCACAACAAGGACTCTGCTATCAAGATCACATACTGCATTCCTGATGGTATCCAAGGGGTGAGTGTCTCTGAACATACTCTCACCAAGAACAGCTGTATCTAATAGATGCCTTTCACAGAAACCCCCCTCCACCTCTCGGAGTGATGGTTCAGGGATTCAATTGCATCGTAGATTTGAAAACGATCACAGCTTTCCAGATTCCAACTCTCGAGGGGCGAGGGGGCCACCCAATCTTTGATTAAAGTGACTGAACGTTTTCATGCATACATTAATGTCAGTTCCAAGACGGTTTGAAACATTAGATGAAGTTATGAGCCATGTTCAACACATAAATGTAGATTGTTTTTTATACATTTGGTAATAATGTGTTATTAAAACCAGCACTAATGTTTTTCATCAAAGCATATCATTTAGTTTATTGCTAAAAAAACCCCATTTGAATGTGAAGTATCTTTTGAATGGTTATTATTTACCAAAGAATCAGCATGCTTCTCTATTTTTTTAGCAGTGGTAGTAGTAACATTTTTTGCAAGCTCTTTATTACAGGCACGTTAAAAATCTATGTGACGACTTTCTCATTTTAAATATGGATATAGTTTTTATCTTGTCTTATATTTAGCCTCTGACAGGATGTGAAGAAGCATCAAACTAACACCCTTCAGGGAGGCTTATTCTTTTATTTCGTACAGGACATAACATTGTCGTGCTGCACAGGATGTGTTTTTTATAGTTTTTTCCATGGCAGAAATCATTATTGGTTTTCTTCCTCTGGATGTTTCTTAGTCCGCTGTGATCGTCACCAGGCAACACATGCTTATTTATTGTCAAATATCATCAACAGACTGGGTGACACTATCACATTGAATTCTAATAAAATGACTTGTGCATGGTAGTATTTAGAGGCTTTAATGACTGTTTTTTGCTTTCTATCCTTTAAGAGTGATCACCCATTTCCAGGAAACCCGTTTCAAGGAGGTGTGTTTGAAGCCTTCCTTCCTGACTGCGAGAAGTCACGGAAGCTGCTGCCCCGGCTGGAGAAGGCCTTCAGGCTGGGACTCACCTTCAGGGTGAAGGTCAAAGAGACAGAGGCCAGGGTCACCTGGGACTCCATCCCGCACAAGACCAGCCTACAAGGAGGCAAATCAGGGTGAGTGAGTCCAGTGGGAATGTGCAAACAGAGCTGTGGAGTTAAAGGTCACGAGTCCATGAATCGGAGCTGAACAATCTTCTTTCTGTCTCTCTCAGGAAAGGTTACCCAGATTCCAGCTACTTGACTCGCTTGTCTCAGGTCTTGACCTCCCATTGGATTGAAGAGTAACCAGCCAAATCTCATGAATGATAAAAAAAACGGTTCTTATGTAGTTTTTACTCACAATGTTTGATGATGTGTGCATATAATTTTTTTATTAGACAATTTGAATTAAAATAACATTCCTGAACATTTTCTCAGTGAAGAGCTCATTTTGTAGAATTGATTTTTGTAATGTATTGTGTGCATAGTATTGTATGGATGTTCATTTTGTACCGTCCTGTGTGTTTTTATGAAAATGATATATATATATATATATATATATAGAATGTCAGGAAGTAAAGTTATGACTTTGTAAACTTTCCTTTGCTTCCTTTATTTTTCCTTAAAACGGGCAAATAAATAAAAAAGCACATCTCCTGAGTTTTTTTTTTGTTATGCTTTTTTTATTAGTCCTGGAAAACATGTAAGGCATATGGTAACATTACACACTGAAGCGTTACAAGCTCTAGAGGCCATGTGGACAACATGGCACCACGCAGTAAACCCAGAGTCAAGCACAGAAGCAGCATCAATTCAAAGGGTTTAAAAAGCAAAGTCAAGACGAGAGAAAGAGTGTTTGCAACCACGGGGGGGGAAACCAATGCAAAGGGAGGACAGAATAGGAGTAGCTTCGAAATCAACCTGTTGGGTATGCCTTGTAGAAAATTACCAGTGGTGGGAGGGACGCGGAGTGAGTTTCTGAAGCGTTCCCAGAGATAGTTTAAGGTGTGTCATGAATGTACCAGCTGGCCGTGACAGTGCCCATGCTGAAGGTGAGGACAGGGAGTCAAAGCGGCACAGGGAGCAGTGGATTGGCTTCACTTGGTGACTTGTTACGGCTAGAGGGGCTTCTACGTGACGACTAGTGCAAAGCTGTACACTTCATCTTCTGGTCGATTAAACATGGATCCTAGTACTGTACATGACAAGCCCAGCCAGGTTGCACTTTCTTAGCGCCTCTGCGATGTTGCTGCATTGCAAAACTCTTTTTGAAATGGCCACTAAGGAAACAATAGCTGCAGGCGGATGTGGTTGTTTGGGTGCTCAGTGTGGATGAGTGAACACAGTGACTATGTAATTGGAAATGACCCACTGACAGAGCCTCTCCTTTTCTGCTCGCAGTGCTAAAGCTTACATCAAACATGGATGCTGTGAAGGAAAGTCGGCGTGACAGTTTGTGCAGTGAACTCGGTGAAACAGAATGATGTCGCTGAATGCAAAACGAAGTGGTTTCGTACATCACAAAGTCTAGTTTTGAATGACCTGAGAAACCATATAAAAGAGAGAGAAAAAAAATCTCAAAGCTGAACGGTGAGTGTGTGTGTGTCTGTGAAGCTGAGATAAACTGAAAAGTAACTATTGGAAATACCACACTCATTGTCTTAGTGCATTTTTCAGTCCTAAAACTACGAGTGCTAATTGGCAATATCAAATCTAAAATTCAGAAATCACTTTAAAACACTGTTTTACTCCAGTGCATCTCTGAGTTGCTCTTGCATAAGTGTCTGGAATTACTGGGAAACTGTTTCATGATGACGTGCTGTGCGTTGTAGAGTCACCACGGTGGAAAAGCTCTCGGGCATCTGGGCCTCAGTTGAGAGTTGTGGGCTTGAATTTAACCAACAGATCCCAAAGCCCTGACATTAAACACCCGCCCCACTGATTGAGTTCCTCTCAAAGGCATCTTTGCTCAAAAAGAACTTAGGGGGAAAATGTTGAAAGAGAAAAAAAAAACAATAATCTGTTTTCCACATGCCGATGAACGCATGCAATTTCAAATTCCAGATGTCAGAGTGGCGTTTTATTTGCTGTGAGGTGGAGATAGAAGGGGGAGGTGATATGCAGGGGCATTTTTGGCGGGCAGCTGCCGGAAGTGAGGCTGACGTGCAGGCCAAGAAGCTCTGCAGACACTGCGAAGGAAAAAATGGCTCTGATAAGCCTTGAGTGAACTGAGATCGGCTGTTAAGCGGAAATGTTGCGTCTGGGGTGAACCGGGGCTGAGCTACGATCAGCCAGCGAGGTGGGATTTTGCGCAGCTGTGTTACAGAATTGGCGTGCCTGTACAGCTGTGTGAAAACATCTGCTCCCTGACTTGCCATTCAAGCCATTTGGAAACAAACTAAAAGAAACAAATCCATAGAGAGGAATACCAAGGAGATTTGGGTTCGGAAGGATTTTTGCAACGTCTGTGAATCTATTACTTCATTTGGCGGAGTTTTGAAGCTTAAACGCACCTCGTCCTTCTCACTGTGATATGGATGTTATGGCGGTAAACACGCAGAGGTCGTCTATCTGTTGTGGTCGACATGATGCAAGAGCTGGTAAAGCACAGTGAGAAGGGATATAAATATGGAGGGAGGCGCCTCGGATTGAGGTAAGCTGTGTGCAAGGAGAGAGGCACAGTGCAAGCCTACGCTTAAGCAGGACTCCGATCCATCAAAAAACTACAAATTGTGTTAAACCTTTTGTAAACTGCAGCAAAAAATCTGTCAGCACCATTGAGCATTTGGGATACAAATCTGACACACTGACAACTCTTTTGTTTTCATTTAGTTTCTTCACGGTCGATGGAAACGCATCCAAAAACAGGATTTTTCTCCATATTTTTTCATGCACTGTTAATATTGAAAGCATTGACAGAGGAATATACATACAATTTGGCACACATGGTTCAGACCAACAGAAAGACTTCATCACATTTAAAAGGAGCGCAGGGTCGCCAGGTAAAAGAGAGTATGAGAGCTTTGAACTTTAAACCCTTGGATAATAAAACAAATAAACAAACAAAAAAATATAAAGGTCAATTAAAATAACATATTAAGTAAAACATCCTTTTTTTTTCTTACTTAAGCGTTTGTTTCTCACATGGCACTCGGAACAGAAGCACCGTCCACAGGTTCACAAAGGGAGCCCAGCAGATTAGAACAGAACACTAACCAGAGGCTGACAGGACACAGTCACTCCCCACACCAGCGTGGCGGTCACACTCTAGCCCAGTTTGACTCCGCCCCTGTTCCGCGTTTTACTTTCCACAGTCGAGGATGGATGGACGCTTTGATATTTAGCTGCCACCCAGGAGAAGTTGGCCTGGACAGGGACTGGCAAGCTGAAAATGAGGGGACCGTTACACCAGTGTGTGTTTCTACATGCGTGTGAGTTTATGTGAGCGTGTGTGTCACCCGTGCTTTCAGTGAGCTTCTGCAGACGACACTGGGAGTGGATGATGGGAAGCAGGGGCTGCAGACCTGGAGCAGAATCAAAGACCGCGTAGGACTGGAGTGTGACTGCCATGCTCGTAAGTGCATTAAGATCAGCGAGCAGAGTGCAAAAATACTAATACCAACTGTCCTCACAACACAGGCCTCTTATCAGACGGGGAGAGAGATGGAGAGAGAGGGGTGGCAGGGCCGGAGCTACATAATGCTGTAGCGGAGAAGTGTAGGGTGATGGTGGTAGGGGGGGGAAAGGGTGGGTGCTTTTGAAACCTGACAAACGACCTGAGGACACACACATCTTCACACACAATGGCACACCACACACGGCACATGAGGGAGGCCACTCATGCTAACACAACATCTTTTTTACTTTCTTTTTTTTTTTTTTTTTTCAGGCTGATTTTTTTTTTCATAGTGTTTGCAGTTCATTTTGAAAATGTGTTGTTTCTCCCATTTAGTTTTTTACAAAGTCACTAGTCACCATCTGAGTCTCAACACAGAGGCCGGGCTCACAGACGGACTGACAGGCAGACAGGCAGGCAGGCAGGTAGTTAAATGCCTAAGGTTTAAGGGTTGATATCCACCTACGGGAAAGATTTAGGAGTCCACCCAGTGGGACTTGTAATGAAACACTAGAGGATTTTACTCCTAAACTTCTAACTTGACACCAGCCAGGCAAAAGGCAAAACTCATACTGTCCATTAGAGGGAGCGTTGTGCAGTTTTAGTTGGCATATTGCTAATGGCACACATTGTCAATACTAGATTTAAACGTTTATGCACAGCTTGGTGGTGCAATACTAACAAATCTTTTGAAAAGGGGCTTCACTTCCTCATGAATTCTTAATAAATTTTACACCTGATGAAATACTGGTCCCCAGCTCTGACTATTGGCAAACAGAGCGAGGGAGGCAGGAGGGAAAGACACAGGGAGAGGGAGTCAGAGAAACAGACCACAGTGCCATCTCTGACGAGCCTGACGCCTGTTGCTATGCCGACCGTAGAGAGGGAAATGGAAAGAGGAGGGAGAGAGAGAGAAAGAGAGAGGGGCAGAAGAGAGAAGGAGGGGAGGCAAAGTATGGACGCCGGCTTGAATTGAATTCTCCTCTCTCTCAGGTCAGGGTGATCGACAGGCGAGCGGTCGCTGTGAAAGGAGCAGAATGCCACAGAGTGCCTCGAGGAGGATCAGGGGAGAAAAAAAAAAAAAGGCTGATCCCGAGGAAAAAAGAACTGGTATTCACCTTCTTAACTTGCTCATTTCAGACGCTTCACTGTCTCAGCGTGACAGTGCCTCTTTCATCACATTCAGAGTGTGTATGTTTGTGTGTGTGTGTGTGGCTTGTTTGAACAGAAACAAATTCTCTCTTAATTGGCACCGCGCACTTCTTGCCAACAGTTGGTCAGCTAGAAAAATCTGTAGCTAAGGAGGAGGAAGCTGAGCCATGATTTCTGTTCAACGTTGCACAGAGAGAAAGGCTCATTATGAGGGGAAATTCTTATTCTTCAGCCACTAAATAAACAGAAATTTGGTTTGGAACGCATGCGTTATAGGGCCACCCCCCCCCCCCGCTGCTGATGAAGCCACATTAAAAAATTTCAGGCCCTGCAGTTTCAACACCATAGTCGAAGATCATGATCAAAAACCATGATGCAAATATCTACAGGGGAGGTGGGGTGCATGAGCCAATCACAGGCATCTCTGACTCACTATCAGTGACATAACTTTGAGCGTTGGACGCAGAAAGAGCAACATGTGGGTGGGCGTGGTTCTTCGTTTGCCTGGCCGCCCGTCCGTGTTTACGCCTGCCTGTGGGTCTGGCCCGTGGGTTGGTGGGGGAGGTGAGGGTGTGACGGGGACTCAGCAGAGTGAGGGTGTGGGTGAGAGGGGGAGACGAGAGGAGGTGGCAGGTGGAAGTCAGAGCAGAACAATTTAGCACAGTGGGAGTTGAGGTGCGGAGTGGCATGGGGGGGAATGAGGGTGGGACTGGAGCACGAGCGGCGGGGGGGATAACTGTTGTCAAGGCAACAACCCCCACCACCACCACCACTCGGTCCCCCAAGCCTGGACCCTACCCACAGTCCTCCACGACTCCCTTGTCTCAGTCGTTCCGAATAGGAGAAAAAAATATTTGGAGTGTCGCAAGGAGTGAGGCAAGGGGAAGAGTTCAGAGCACTCAGGGTGGGAAAAGTGATCGGATCATTTTTTGTTTTGTAAGAAAATGGTAAGCGAGGGGGTGTGGGTGGAGCCAGGCCTGAGTGATCGCCACCAGTGTGGACTCGAGAGGGTGAAGCAAAGAGATGTAGAAAACTGACAGTGGTGAGATAATCTTTGTAATCTAGCCCTCTAACTCCTTCCCATTCTTGCTTATGCAATGCCACCCTCCCCCCCTGCCACCCCATCCCCATCCATCACCCCACCCCACCCCACCATCCCACTCCCTGTGCTCCCAGGACACAAACTCCCTGCTGGTCTGCTTGACTATCCATCCCTCTCTCTCACTTCTCCTCCTTCTTGGGCTCCTCCTTCTTCTCTTCCTCCTTCTTGGCCTCCTCCTTTTTAGGCTCCTCCTTCTTGGGCTCCTCCTTCTTCTTGTCGTCCTTCTTCTCCTCCTTCTTGGGCTCCTCCTTCTTCTTGTCGTCCTTCTTCTTGTCTTCCTTCTTCTTGTCCTCTTTCTTGTCCTCCTTCTTGGGCTCCTCCTTCTTCTCCTCCTCAGGCATTGGCTCCGTGCTGAGGATGACTTTGCCGATGTTGTTCCTCTCCTGCATCTTCCTCATGGCATCGCCCACCTGGAGGAGAGATGAAAAGAAGGAAGACGGTTACGTAAGGAGGGAAGAAAGAGGAAAAGGTGAAAGGAGGGCAGGGAGAAATTTTTAAAATACACCTGTCATTGAGAAGAAAAATCTATTGAGGCTCCACAGGAGCCAGTTTCTCCTCCACCAACACATTTTCATTGCACTATTGCATTCTGTGCTCATCTTCTGTTTTGATAGGAACAAATATCCTAAGCCGACAAATCAGACTTTAATATGCAGTATATGTGAAATTACATTTGTTTAGATGAGACTTCAATAATCTTTGAGAGGAAATGAGATTGTGCAGCAGCACGCAGCAAAGAAACAGAAGGATGACAAAATAAATGGAGGGAGTAACATACTGCAAATAGATGCTTTCAATATTAGAATTTCCATCCATTCATTATCTATAACGCTGATCCTTTGAGGGTCGAGGGGAAGCTGGAGCCAATCCCAGCTGACATTTGGTGAGAGGCGGGGTACACCCTGAACAGAGCCGACATACAGAGACTAACAACCATTCACGCTCACATTGATAGGTGGTCAATTTAGAGTATCCAATTAATCTAATCCCAATCCTATCTACTGCAACAGTTCTCTTTTATAAACAGTCTATGGTGCAGAGTCAAAAAGACTTTGTGCTCATATGCAATGATCATGTTATAGTCAGTGATTTTTTTTCATTTAATTCATTCAATATAGTGCAACAAAGTGAACATTGTCAATTACTTTGAACAATTGCTAAAGAAGAAGTGATTATATGAATGTTGTTGCCATAAACCCACAACAATCAGATATGATGAAATAAAAATAATGAAATTAATAAAATGATCTAGCTGTGCTTTTGACCTGTTGTTTGACCCAGTTGTCGACTGCTGCCTGAAGTAGAAGAAGACATGGTCAACTCAGACCGCAGACTGAAGGTACACTGCCCCGCTCCAAGTCACTGCCACAGAGCACCGGTCACCAGTTTATTCAAGTATTAGCACTGAACGAATTGCGAATACACGTCGCCCCAAATTTGACACTGCACGTCCCTGGGCAAGTGTGAAGTCGTTTTGATGAAGAGTTTGAACAGACAGACAGACATTTGTGGAATTAGTAGTTAAAATTAAAGTAGGTATTAAAAGGGACACCCTGCAGAAAGGTAGAGCTTGTTTGAGGAAAACAACAAAGGTGCAAATCAAAGCATTACTTCTTTTATTAAATATCCAAATTCTGCTTAATGAGACATTTGTTTCATTAAGGTCACAGAGCTGTGGCTGTGGATTTCTAAGATCTGGCTCCTTATATCATGATTAATGCAGAGCGATGTTGTGTAATTGTATAACTCAATTTGAATTGATTTAATTTTCTTTTTATGGGGCAAATTCACTAATGAGGCCACGGAGGATCTTTGACCACAGTCACAATTTTTTTTGTTATAATTAAAACTGACGGCAAAAAAAGTTGTGTAAACACCAAGCTGATTTCAGCTGAATAATTTCACTTCTGAAGACAGGCCACATCAGCTAAACCGGCTCCCACGAAATCCTAAAGAGGATTCACTGTCATCATAACGACAAGAGGAGAGTCCTATCACCAGTCCGGCCCCACCCTCCTCTTGACCGCTCTGTCCTCTGTCTGTTCTCGTCTCCATCACCCCCTCCCCCTCCTCCCATCGCCCCTATTCGTGCGAGGCAGGCAGACCACCTAACGACCAGTGCCACGGCAACAGGACCATCTCCTAGCAACGTAAAGCCTGGCTGAAACGTGGCCCTGACAACTAAGACACATGGGAAAGAGAGAGAGGAGGTGTTGGAGGCTCGGGGGGACGGAGGGAGCAACTGGTGTCCTGAAATTGAAAGGGAGGGAGGGATGGAGGGAGGGCTGAGTCCGAGAAATATAAGAATCATCTTCAATGTGAATGAAAGTCACACTGAGAGCGACAGAGGCTCTTCATTGCGACTCCACCCACTTCCACCCTTCGCTCTCTTAAGATCTGACAGCCACTCTGGCTCCCAGGCATCTGCTATATTTGCAGCTACAGACATGACCGTTATCCTCCTGGGTATCAGTGCAGATGTAGATAATGAAAGAGAAACCACAGGGGGGAGGGATAGTGCTGAATTTTAATTATTGCTCTAAATATTGATTATTGAGCAAAAACAAGGGGTGAAAATGAAAGAAATAATGTGATGGATGGGCTCAGGGCCTGGTATTTGTGCTCAGGCTGTAATAAGTGACCGAGTATTTGATAACCTGTTGTTCAACAGCTTTTTGTATCAGATGCTACTATGGGCTTCGGTGTTTTGCAGTCATTCATCAAAAGCTTTACACACCAAGCCGGAGTGAGATATACCATCTTCTTCCCTCTGTTTTTTCCACACTCCTTCTTTTTCATACATCAGGGCCCCTCCCTGAGACAGACGCACACAGTGACTAAAGGATGTCACCATAGCAACAAGAGAGAAAAAGCAAAAAAAGAAAAGATACACTGTGAGGCGGTAGAAGTGGAGAATACAGCGAGATAGAGAGAGACACAGAGGGAGTCAATAACCTAAAGACCGAGAGAAAGAGTCTGATATGAAGAGCGGGCAGATGGAGGGGCAGAGAAAGAGCGTCAGATGGCGGAGAAAGACAGCGGGTGTTTCTCTCTCTCCGGCTGCAGCCACAAAGGCCAAAATACTGACCAGCTCCGACTTTGACAACAGAAGATGTCAGCCTCTGACTCTCTCTCTCTCCCTGTGTGTTTTTCACACTCTCTCTATTCATATCTGCTTGCAGCGTTAATTTTGTCAGCAACAATCTGACCCTGTCTGGCCGAGTGAGTTATGACGCTGTGCGTCTTGTGGACAAACTCTGCCTGTTGAATGCGAGTCTTATTGAATCTGGGCCACACCCAGCTCCAGCAGATCCCATCCTCCAACCACAGAGCCACCTGACATCCACAGTCATTCTGGGTGACTGGGTAGGAAGCACACGCTGGAGGAACCCGCGTCTTTCATGTGTAAATTCACCTGTCACAATGAATCATCAGGTCATTCAAACTGAGGTGCACAGGGATGCTTTTAGTTACACAAACAATCAGGCATGAAATGCAGATATATTCAACTCATGGAGTATATCAAAAAATTATATGAAACCACTTTTAGATTGACTAGATCCAGATTTATATTAGGATCTGCAGGAAATTGCAAACATTCATAATACCAACCCCCTAAAAATTCACACATAATTCTTTGAGATGTCAACCAAAAATGTGGAAAAGAGCCCAATGTCGCAATTTTAAAGAAAGTGAGAAAAATTCCTCGATCCACCCTCTGATCTGGATCCACACCAACACTTAATTGCCCATACCGCATCCTTCCATCAAATTTCATGGAAATCTGTCCAGTAGTTTGGTGAAAACCGCTAACTGTCAAACAAAACAGTTATGTGACATGTATTATCTTTACGGTGCTTGTAGAGAACTTCAGAATCAATTCAGACACAATCCACATAAGAGACAATGGTGTGCAGACACAGACCTGCTCAAGATGCCAAGTGGAATCAATGCGGGGCTTGACCTTTCCCTGCTTGTACAGATCCAGGATGATGTTCATGGCCTCCGTGATGAGCTCTGTCTCCCCGTCCAGGTAGCCCAGGTGGAAGCCGCACACCGACTTGTTTCCCTGGATGAGGCTGAGTGTGTGGATGGAGAACTGGTGGTACCAGTTCTTGGCCACGGCGAGCAGGTTCTTCTTCTGGCCCGCCAGCATGTTCGCCGCACCTGATGGAGAAGGATGGAGAAAGGAGGGAAAGGGGCTTGAATCTCTGCTGCATGTGTTTTTGCTAGGACCTGACTCACTTTGCCCTTGCTTGATCATTAGCTTGAAAATGTTATGTTTATTTTAAGTCATTTAAAAAGAAAACTAGCTTTTTCCTGTTGCTCAAATGTGGAGATTTGCTGTCTTCACAGTTACTGTTACTTTATTATTCTAGGGATTATTTTTTTTTAAATTTCCTGACATCTTATTGACCAATCAATTACTGGCAAACATAAAAGATTGATCAATATTTCAGGGACATGGCATCAACTCCAGTCAGGGTCCTTCAGTTCCTGTTTTTTTGTTCCGCCTCTCAGCTTCCTCCACTGTGAACACCTCTTTAGCACTTCAGCTCTGACTGTCACCACATCACCTTCCTCTCCTTCAGCCTCCTGTGCTCTCGCTGTCTCTGCCTCTCTCTCAGGGGAACGAGGGGACACAAAGCTCGCTCTGAGAGAAGAGAGGGACCCAGCCTGCTACATTCAGACACATTCCAGGTTTCGTGTGCATAGAATGCCCATTGTCCCGCCATGCATACTTCTGATAAGCTGGAAGAGAAGTAGCCAGCGCAGAGGGACCGGGTGGGTGGGGTGCGGCCTGTGGGAGGAGGGTTGTTCTGTTGGGGTGAGAGAGGGTAGGGTGGGGGGGGGCACCATGCTGGGTATCGGTTTTTTTTGCAACATGCAAAGGCAGAGCCCTGTTCTCCATAGATGCCGACACTACCCACTGTTGCATGCATGCTGGTTCCAGATTGACACTGCGGCAGAGCGAGCGTAAAAGGCCTTCCCACGGATTACACACAGCGAACTGAGGACACGGACCTCTGCAGAGGTCACGCTGCCCACCAGGAAGCAGCTTTACCCCACAGCAAGTTTGATGCACTGAGCTAACCACAGATGTTTTGTAATAATTTCTAAAATCACTGAAAATGTTCAGTGTTACTTTGCAATTGATTATAACAATGTTCATAGAAGTGGGTAAAGAACTTATTCGTAATTATAAAATGTAGCCAAACCGTTGTAGATAGAAATAGCCTATTCATGGATAGTTATGTCACTAATGTACTAAAAAACTTAATAAACACCTTGTTGGCCTGTAGGCAAAATATTCTAGTAGAAACTTAAAATCTGGATTTGCGGACTGAGAACACTTCGCATACAAGACATTTGCTATTAGAAGTTGAGGTTTTTTACTTTAGTGTATAACATTTCTTCTGAATCTGATTGGAAATAATTTGTCTGGAGTGACCATTTCAATCAAATTCGCAGGGAGTCAATTCTGAAAGCTATTGTTGAACACTCAGGTAAAGAATATGTTTCTTTTGACTTACCGTAAGTGATAAGTTTGCCCATAGGCTTCAGCAGGTTGTAGGCCTTATGGGTGTCCGATCCTCCAAGAGGGTCCAGTATAATGTCTAGCCCTGCAGCAGGAGAAATAAGAAGGGGACAGTTATCGCTGGTTTGAATTGAGAGCGAGCAGCTTGCCAAGTCTCTTCAGTGGCCCCCTCCGCATGCCAGAGTTCACTAGGAGTAGCGAGTGTTGTGCCAAGTTGTGCCATGTTTACATGAGGAGGAGCACATGTACCTATGCCAAGAGAGGAGCGGAGGAGAGCGGGGCAAGATCCCTCTTGTTTTATGTTTTTCATTCTTGTCACTGATAAGACAAAAAGGATAAAATGTCCCTCCATCACAGTTCATTCCATTCCTAGAGGATGGAATAACAAACAAACCAGCCTCTCAGCAGACGTAAAGCATGGCAACCTAACTATTAAGCTCCCTGATTAACGTCTCTACCATGTCGGCTCAACCATAATGACGTTCCTTTGTGCCAGAGGGGACTCCTCAAATTGGGCTACCCCTGCTTGCTCCAGTAAACCCCGGTTCTATTGATTTGGAGAGGCTCACAGCAGGACTCTGCCTTGACCACAGCGCAGATGAATTGATGGCGAGCCAAAGACAGGGAGGGAAGGTAGCGAGCAGGACTGCACATTGATCCAAGGCCTCTAATTAGATACATTCTGTCTAAAGTGTCAGTTCTCGCTGTCTTCCTATCTGTCTCTCTGTCTGTCTCTCTGTGCTACAGCGAACAGAGGCGGGTTGGAGAGGGGACTGTGAAATGAGCCTCCAGTATAAAGAGTCTCCATCCTGCGAGGAACACAGCAGAAAGCAAAAGAAGAAACAGGAATTGGGCGTTTTTTTCTCCATCTTTCTGAAAAGCAGTATTTTCTTTGTGCCCTTTTGTGAGTCCAGGAGCACATCTAAATAAAACTCTGCAGAATACATTTCATTATATTATGTTATTGATGTTGATGAGAATCCAAATCGTCACTGCTCGGTTCAATGGGTTCGTTGGAAGGGAAAATGACTCCCTACATGCTGTCAAGTGCACATGGCAGCAAGCTCTGCTAAGAAATGTGTCACAAGAGAAAAAAGGTGTATGAAAATGCATCATCTCACTGTCGGCAGTTTGTTCAGCACCGTTCAACAATCGCTGCAGTCACACAGTATTGCTCTGTGCCGGTGGGAACATATTGATCTGGACTATTTATCTTGTGAAACAATCTAAGTGCATATTACTATAAATTGTGTATATAAATTGACAGTCTACACAGGGCCCATTTTTAAACATTATTTCCCGTCACACACAAACTTCAAGTTTAGAGCACTTTAAACAGATAAAAATGGACATCAGGACATTAACCACAATAAATGTCAGATTATTATCTTTTAAATTTAAAGACGGATTAAGCTCCCGAGTGAAGGCTGTGGTTTTATCCATTCATTCATCTATTGTCCTATACCGGTTTGTGGGGGAGCTGCAGCCAATCACATTCACACATACGGTTCAATTAAAGTCTCCAATTAACCTAACCCCAATCTGCATGTCTTTGGACCGTGTGCTGACTGAGTACCTGGAGAAATCCCATGCATACACAGGGAGAACATGCAAAATCCACACAGAAAAATTATATTGCAATATTTATTGATACTGTGTTATTGCCCAGCCCCTAGCAGATAGTCAAGTGTCTCACCTTTCGGACTGATCTTGCGAACTTCCTCCACGTAGTCCTTGGTGCGATAGTCGATGGGATGCGTGACCCCACCCTCTCCGATGGTCTCGTGCTTGCTGGCTGATGCGGTGCCGAACACAGTCACATCCTTCACTGTCTTGCACAGCTGGGTGGCTGCAATACCAACACCACCTGAAATAAGAAAGGCAGGGTTAACTACACTGCCATGAATTTGTGAAGAAAATATAAATTTGAGAATATGTGATTGATTCTATTGCAAAGACTATACCGATGACGATTCAAGATCAACTGCGCACAGCTGTTCAAGAGCATCAAGAATTCCCAGACCGCATATATTTTCTATGGCAGCTAAATGTTATTTACATTATTTATTGTCCCCAAACAAGACAGTCAATAACAGCAGTGGATGTGTTTTGCTCAGGGGTATGCAAAGAGAGAATTGAACACAATCACATTACCCCAGCTGGCCTGGGGAGAATAGACACACACATCCAGCTCTGGAAGAAGTAGACATTGTATCTCCAATGACACATCTCATTTTTTGGTTCCCTTACACAAAACAACTTGTGTAAAATTCCACAGGACGAAAAAAAAAGAATGTCGCTGAGGTATCTGTTTTGTTGGGAAAGGCGAAGTGGATCATTCTATTGCAAATCACATAACCATGGCTCCTTATAACAATGCCAGTTGAAATCAAAATGTGCTACATTGCCCAAGATAACTTTTAAAGATAACAAGCTGAGAGAATGTGCACTCTCTGATATCTGCTATTGTGTTCACTGTATTTGGACGTGTGTACAAATGCCTCAACCGGTGTTTGTCAAGGCAGCCAGAGCAAGAAGTAATAGGTTACTGATAAGCAGGGGCTTGTTTGAATTGGAGGCTGACTGGAGGATTTGAAGAGAACGGCCTCCATAAAGGTCATTTATGCCTGACCAAGTAAAGAGCACGTCTGATACCAGAGAATAAAGCAACACGTGAGTTTAAACATCTCTTTTAATGGCATGGGGCTGAGGAGCAGGTTTGTATGAAACTAATGATGAAATCATGATTTGTTTGCTTACACAGGGCAACTAAAACCAAACATTTAGGATGCACGCCCAGTAAGATTATCTGAAAGGCAGGACGACAGGCACATACGCACTTGGCATGTGTATTGTTAAAGGCCAGAGATTACATTTGGTGCGATCTGGAAATGTGATATGTTGAATATTAATGAACCTTGAATGAACAGACTACCAGCGCTCTGTAGTAGATCTGCACTTGCTGTGGCTCAGTTACTGCAGGTCACTTTTACCGTTTCAGAAAAAAAAAGCTGCAACCAGCATCACCACAGACCAGAGGAACAGCCCATTCCAAACAGACACTGCAATAGTTTACATAAATTGAGAATAGACCACAATGAAAATTATACTTAAGGTTATGAATCATATATCTTCATCAAGGCAATTTATTTTATGATTTATGTGAAGAATATCTATTTAAATATCGTTATGTTTCTAATATAATGTCTTTATCTCTGTTGTACAGTCAGAACATTACAGTGACGCACCTCTGGTCCCTTCATCTCTTCATGAATATTATTTGAAGTGAGCTCAATAGCACAATTTCTTTGGCGACTTCTTGGCAGTTTCTCTGTGATGGTCACATAAAACCAGTATGAACTGTAAGCCTGAGGCCAAATCAAATGATCCTCTTTATTCATCTCTGACCAGAAATCGCTCAGTGTAAATATGTGAAATGGTTTATTTCAGTCTCTGACCGTGGTTGTTAGAAAAATGGTTCCCAGATGGAAAAAAAAAAATGTCAGAAAATGAATATGATCCCATTCATAATCCTTAATGTCAGTGTAAAAACAAACATCGCTTCTGACTTGTGTTTCTCATCCGGGCATCATTGTGAGACGCACACGCTGCCGACACTGAGCTGAGAACTGATGAAAACACAAAATCAATGCCGTTAAATGGGAGCGTGTTTGTGGCGGCTGCTGCGTTATAACATCACCATCTCTCGTCTCATGTCCTCAGCTAGAAATCAGGTTTGTGTTGCCAGGGAAACCTCGGCCAAATTGCCAACAATGACTGAGCAAAGGCAGCCATTTTGTTTCATTGACTGCTTTGCCATTGAACATACACAGTCTGTCAGTTTGTCATCTGTTTGTATCTGAGAGACCTGTGCAGCCACCAAACTTCATCACCTGTGAATATTCAGGAATTATTCATAGTAAAATCAAAGAGCTGTGTATTTACAGTGGAATGTGATGCAATGCACTTCTACACATATTTTTACACATGAAAACTTTACAAGCAAATGTGCAAGTTGGCCTTGGACACATGCTTTACAAAAGTGACTGTTTATGTGAGCTATGAAGGGGTTAAGAGCTGTTTTCATTACATGGCTGTGTCACATAGTAGCAGGCATCAGACACAAATACAGGTGTGAAGTGTCCAACAGGATGATGCATCCATTGCTCCAGGCTCTCACATATTAATATTTAACTAACGCTGCTGTCATGAACACAGCGTTTCCCCTTCTGTGTTTACTTGAAGGTGTCAGTGAGCGAGGGGAGAACCCGCAGCGAAACAATCAGTGCTTATTTGTATCATATTGCTAACTGTTTTTTTTTTCAAATTAAGCCTTTATTTGTTGACTGAAACCAGAATGAAATAAATGCTTTTCATGCAATCAGAAATTTTTATCAAAATCCTGGGTGAGGGAAAACATGTTTCCACAGAGAAATTGAGCTGAGAGAGGAAGAAGAAGAAGAAGAAGGTACTCGTCTCTAGTCTCCTGAGAACAAACTCCTGATCTCCCATCACAAGACTGCTAAGCTGTGCCAAGAACCCCTTACCGCGCCCCTACATGAACGCACGCACACACATATCCATACATACACAGATCTGAAAAAAGAAAAAAAGACAGGAACAGGGCTGCAGCCTTGAAAAGTGTCTGCTAATCTTCACAAATATGCACAGAGATTAAAATATTAACCTTTAATAGACCCAGTAGTTTAGTTCCTGTTGCTTACCTGGTTTCCTGATTTATAGTTTCTCCCTTTTTATCAACGTCTTTAGCCCAGAATCATCTCTCTCTTGGAGGAAGAGTGTGATTGAGGACCATCCACAAACACTTACCCATTGCACAGGAAAGAGAGAGCAGCTTAAGCGAATTCTTGCTGCTAATTGTATTTGTTCTCCAGATTCAATTGAATTGTTTACACTTGTAAATTAGGAAATGTCAAAAAAAAAAAACTAAAACATCCACCTATCCATTTTGTGTCTCTGGAGAAATGGGATACACAGTAAGGTTTTGTCTTTCCCTGAATCCTTTACATAGTCACATTCTGGCACAAATTGCACTTGGCTTCCATAACATGACTTTTAGCAGCAACAAGGAATTTTCCCCAAAACACAGAGGAATCCACACTGACACTGAGGCCACTGTTATTGCTCCACACCCAGAGTTCATTCAGGAGCGGACAGGGACATCAGAGTGTTCTTTCAGAACCATAAAAAAAACCATGTCTGCAGTGTCTAATTTCTCAACCTCCTGTCAAGCTACGTGCTCACTGACCACACATGTCTTTTTATTATGTCTATATACAGATTATGTCACAGCACAGCATTTGTGAAGGTGTGAGTAGGGGGACGTGTATGGCAACACCAATGAGATGACTGGTTCCTGGTCTCTCAGCTCCACATTGTTTTTTTGTGCAACTTCTCCTGCATTTGTTTCCACATTTCCTGAACGACTCTCTCCTTCCTTAGCCTATCATTATCTTGTGGCTGACAAAGAATGGAATACAAATGTGGACCCAAGCATCTCTTTTTGACCCAAACTCAATGTGGCGGTGTTACAACACCAACAAAACAGAACCAAATAAATTAACATTTTATTGCCACCCTCTGCAGCAGAGCTCAAATAGGAGTCCAGTAATGGCGATAGGAGCTGTGGTTTGGTGTTTGTGAATGTGTACTCTGGATGTATTACTCTGCATTATGTAACCCTGGTGTTTTTCTTGGATGACTGTGTAAGTGTGTAACTGTGTGTGTGTGTGTGCTCACATTTTGGGCTTCATGAGCAGTAATGTGCTCGCTCTGATGGCGACTTTCTCTCCGTGCAGCGTGGAGGAAGCACATTTTTAGTTACTGACTGACTAAATTAAAAAAAAATCCATCCTTTGACTGTGTGTGAAGTTGGTGCCTGTGATTTCCTGAGTGAGATTAACAAAAGACACAGAAAACAGATAAGCTGTGTCTCGATTCAGAGGATGCATCCTTTGGAGGATGCAGTCTACTTGGCCTATGAAGACCGCAAAGACCAAACTGAAAAGAGACAGTCTGGATTACGGAAGCTTTCTGTAATTAGTGTGACCAGCTTGTCCTGCCCTTATTGCTGTTGCCTAGCGACAGAGCCAATGTTGGACATGGCAAGAAAGTTTTAATGCCCCTTGTTTTTTTTACATGTGTACCATTAGCTGTTCAGTTGAGTTGAAGTGGCGCCATTTCGCTTGGTGGCTCCATTTCCTCGGTACAGTTAGCCACTGCTGCGCAATATATCCTGGGATAGGTTGGCCAGAGAAGGATCCAACCATTGGAGCCTTCGTTTCTTGGGAATGGAAGGACCGATTTCTCAGCTGCATTTGAAGGAGCCTTCAAAAAGGGACTAGTAACACTGGTGTGACGCAAGTGGTTTTCAAATGCAGCCTCTAAAGGATGCAGGAGCTGAATTGAGACACAGCTATAATGTGTACACCCAAAATATAATTCTGCTATTTTCTTCCCCTTTACAAACCGACACACACACACACACAC